GGAAGAGTGCGGTCCTAGCCTGGGGAGACCGAGATGGACCGAATCGGGAACCAGAGGAACAACGGTGGCACCTGCAGGGAGGGAGGTTGACAAGACAAAACACAGTCAAATACTTGGGAGTGACCCTGACTGCGGAGCCCGACTACCTGAAGGTCCATGAACGAGAGAAGAGATTGGGAGCGATAAGGGGGAAAGGAGTCCTGGCGAAGAAGAGCACCTGGACGTTCAACAGGTTCGAAGTGGTGAGGGGTCTATGGAAGATGGCCATCGTTCCGGGACTCACGTACGCAAATGGCGTACTCGTCCTCTCATCGCAAACAAGAGCCTTCCTGGAGAGAAGACAGAGGGATGCGGGAAGAATGGCCTTGGCAGTTTCAAGAACAGCACCCAACGAGGGTGTCCAGGGGGACTTGGGCTGGTCGTCCTTCGAGGCCAGAGAAGCCAGCGCCAAGGCACTGTACGAGAGGAGAGTGCACAGACTCCCGGATGGGAATTGGGCCCACCGCACCCTGCGCTACATGATATACCAGGGAAGAGGCACCAAATGGATGCACCGCCTCCGAAGGCTGCGGGACCGCTATGGTTTCGAACCGATCTGTCTGGAGTCAGCGGGCGAGAGCCGGGAGGGCCCAGCGGCAATCAGAAAGGGCATCCGAGCAGTGGAGACGGAGAGATGGAGAGCGGGAGCGGCGGCGAAGCCGTCCCTCGCGATGTACTGCGCGGAGAAGGAGGCCATAGGGAAAGAGCCCTGGTACGACAACTCGACAGGCAGTGGACTCCTCGCAGAGGCCCGCATGGGCACATTACGGACCCGGGTGTGGAGGGCCAGGTTCACGGAGGGACAGGAGAGGACGTGCACACTCTGCGGGCAGACCGACGAGACGATGGAGCACCTAGTGCTGCAGTGCCGGCACATTGTACCGGTCCCAAGTACAGAGGTGCTACCTGTAGCACTCGGTTTCCGAATCGGTGCAGAACAAGGAGAGGAAGAACAAAAGAACGTTCGATCGGCGGTTGACGTGACGAAGAGGCGGCTGGAGGTCTGGTGGAGGGAGACGCATCGGCGGAGGGAATGCAACCGATCAGCGGAACATCAAGCGGAAGCGGAAGTCGCGGGAGGCGCGACAGGCTAGATCCAGTACTTGTTGCTGTTGATCACCCGATACAAAGGGAAGAGCCGCAGACTCCAATCCCATCCAAAATCCAGCCTTAAAAGTTACTCCTCGTCTGCTGTCGTTAATTTTGCGAGCGACAAAGTGGTGGAGGTGCTGGGTAGCGAGTCAACCGACAGATCACCCCGTTGACGGAGCGCGCCACTGCGAAGGACGCCATGGATGATCCCCACGCGCTGAGGGTCGAGGATCTGACAACGACGCCGGTGTCGCGGAGCCGTCCTAATCCCGGAAAGCTCGTCTAGGCCTGACGGACAGACGACGACATGTCTGGGGGTGAGCGGCTTCTCCTGACCATCTTCCTGTGGACGGCCATCGTCAACGTCATCTTCCCCGATGGCACCTGGAGCTATCGCCAGTCATCTACAACCGGACGAGTAAGCCACTCCGCTCCTCGACACCGCAGCGGCTTGCGGTATGCCGTGAAACATCGTGCCCGGTTTAAGAACAGCAGAAAACCTGATCGCTTGCTGTGCACATCGACCTCAGGAACGGGACACGGACCGGGATCTCCGTCTCTGATCAATACTATGTGTGGATATGACTGAGCTTGTCAAGACACCTCAACTGTGTTGCTTCACCGTCCAGAATTGTTCGCGATGTCCAAACGTTTGGACGAATGAGTTACCGCGTCAGCTACCCGGGAATTTCGGCAGCCTGAGTCATGGAGAAGACCCTGCCAGATGACCGACGGTGAGTTTCCCGTGCGAATTTCCCCAGCTCAACTGGCTCATTTGGTGATGAAGAGATCCAGTCATGATTTTACGGCGGACCACTTCAAACTTCGAGCGCATACGAGCGAGGAGAGTTTGCGACGGATGGAGCGGCCAGAATGGACCCTATAGAGTGGACTAAGCCATGTCTGACGGAACAGGAACAAAGGACATATCGGCTTCGCGTTGGTGACCCCGAAGCGGCACGCGCGTTGGTGTGGGGACGAGTATGATACAACAAAGGTCGAGGAAGACAGCTCTGCCGTCTAGAAGTGTATAGAGGTGTAGCGTAGAACCTTGAGAAACAGTTCTTTGTTAATTGGAATCTGTGTATAGACTAAGGACGTAAATAAGGGTTTCCATATTTACTATTTGGTGTAAATATTTGCTGTGGAAAGGACTAAGGCTAGAGGTTTTGGCGTAGACTTTTTACGTCTCGTATACCACCTTGTCACTCCTGACATTCGGGACGAGGAGGAACTCCACGATGCTCAAGACACCCTCACCCAGGACCCAGTGTGTGGGGAACCTCGGTGTTCCCAAGTGAGCGACGCCGTAGCAGTGTCAGTGCCGAGTACACCGCAACCAAATGTGAAGGACTTGAATCAACAGCATCGCCAAGATAGAAAGAGGCCATCTGTCGTGAAGGACGCAACGCAGTGACTCCGCAGGTCGTGGTCAAACACCTGTGACAGTGACGACGCCAGCGCCAGTACCGGCATCAGTGCTGGAACCTGTGTCAGTGCCAGTGTTTAGGTCAGCTCGTGAGCTAGGGACAGGTTCTAACCAAGAGACGAACAAACGCCACCGCCGAGCTCCCACCCGATTGCAGTGGAGCGACTTTTTGTATTACTAGTTTTTCTCACAGACTTTCATTTTCTGGATCAACTTTTGCAACGGACTGATTTTGTGCATTACTGGCTTCTCTTACGGATATTTTGATTTCTCGTTCACAGTGGTCAAACTTTTGTGCAGCACTGATTTATCTCACGGGTTTTGTTCTGTATATCTGAGTGAGGGCACTCAGCCCTAATTGACGGGGAATAATTGTAACGCTAGAAAGCTGAAACCGAAACTAAAATAAACGGTTGACTGATGGGCCGACAGATGGAGCCAGAAGGTTATCTAATCTACGCGCGCGCTCTCTCCCTCTTTCACGAGGGAGAGCGGGACGCGTCTTCCCCAAAAACTTCTGGCCTTGGAAGGATATAAAAAGAGCCGCCCAGGCGTACTCGGGCGGTTGTTCGTTCCTCGCGACAGCCGGAGATTGCGTCTTGACCCAAACCTGACCTCTCCCGGCTGAAGCGTTCGGAGAGCTCTGTCGGCCCGCGCTAGAGCAGCCTTAAAAGTTACTCCTCGTCTGCTGTCGTTAATTTTGCGAGCGACAGCCCGAAAGAAAACCAGGGACTGGTGCCCTTGTGGTGACTATGGAGCATTAAACAGTTGTGCACTCTGCCCGACTGTTACACTGTCCCTCATATCCTGGACTTCGGAGGCATCCTACAGGGCGCAAAGGTCTCCAGCAAAGTGCCTCGTCAAGGCGTTCTACCAGATCCCCATAGAACCATCCGACATTCCCAAGATGGCCGTCATCACACCGTTTGGGCTGTTTGAGAGTCTTGGCCTTCCTCCACAATGCCGCAAACCTTTCAACAATTCGTCGACACAGTCCTCTGGAATTTTTCATTCACCTTTGCGTATATTAACAATATCCTTTTATTTAGCAATACCCCAGAAGAGCATGCCGATCATCTACAACAACTCTTCTCGCACTTGGAAGAATACAAACTTGTCGTTAATCCGACCGAATGTGAATTCGGCGTCAACAAACTTGAATTTCTGGACTACCACATTGATAGGTGTGGAATTCAACCGTTACCCAAGAGAGTCGAAGTCATCCGAAGCTTTCCAGAGTCCCCGACGGCAAAGAAACTTCAGGAATTTCTTGGGCTCGTCAATTTTTATTGACACTTTATACCACAGTGCACCCAAGTCTGTGAACTCCTCTACGACCTACTCCCGGCCACCAAAGTAAAGGCAGCGCCACTGCATTGAACGTTAACCACCAATCAAGGTTTTGAGAGAGTGAAAAACATCACCGCCAACGACACCCTTCTCAGCCACCCCAAAAGCAACATACTTTTCTCCACCAGGGTCAACGCCTCGAATGGAGCTGTTGGAGCGGCTCTACAAGAGGACAGAGCCAACTAGCAACCACTTTCCTTCTTTTCAAGAAAGCTGACTCTGACAGAACGGAAATACAGCACCTTTGGGCACGAGCTGCTGGCGATATACCTTGCCATAAGGCACTTTTGCCACTGCGTGGAAGGCCAAAGCTTCTTTGTCTTAACAGACCATGAGCCGTTAACTTATGCGCTAGCCTCCAACAGCACGACATACACTCTGTGTGAGATAAGGCACATGGCATACATTTCGAAATTCACCACCGGCATTCGCTTCGTCAAGGGCACGGATTATGCCGCAACTGATCAACTCTCCAGAGTTGTGGTCAACCTGTGCTTCTTGAAATACCCTGCAATTCCTTATGAGCAGCTGGAGGAAGCCCAACGAAGTTACCTGGAGTTATGTCTACGGACAACTGCAATGACCTTAGTCTTCAAAGACATGCACTCGCTCGACTGTGACGACACAGTTGCATATGAAGTGTTGACAGGTTGACCCCACCCCTCCGTACCAGCAGAGTTGTGTCGAGCAGTTTTTACTCCCTGCACTGTTTGTCTCATCTCAGGATATGAGCAACCCAGCGACTGATAGTATCGCAGTTTATATGGCCTCATATCAACACTGACATGAGGTCCTGGGCCAAAACCTATGTCCAGTACCAACGCTCGAAAGTTCACCGACACACTAAGACACCCTTGTGAACTTTTAACACACCAAACACATGCTTCGCCCACATTCACGTCGACATAGTGCGACCATTTCCTCCATTAAAAAAAAGCCGATATCTTCGGACCTCCTTCGATCGCTTTATGCCGTGGCCCGAAGCGGCACAAATGGTCACCGCAACAGCCGTAGCTCGCACAGTGATGGAAAAGTGGATTAGTCGCTTTGGAGTGCCATAGACAATCACTACTGACAAAGAATGTCAATTTCAATCAACTTTATTTCAAACTCTCTCCCATCTCCAAGGACTTACACATCTATACGACATCCTACTATCCCATATCTAAAGGCACGGTCAAACATCTCGCGTCAGTTTCAAGATGAACACCAGCTTGCACGTGCACTCCCTCAAAGTTAAGAACGTTCGTTAGCCCGCTCCCTTGCCAGGGAGCGAGTTATCAGTAGCAGCAGTTATCCACAGCGCTCGAACGGCGCCAAGCTCACGGTACAGGCACGAGCAAGAGACATGAGGTGGCTGGGCCACGAGGTGCACAGACTCTGAGACTTAGCGACAGGCTCTCGACGATCTAGTAAAAATAGTGTAAATATTGTAAATAAATATGTAGAGTAAGATATACCGAGTCTCCACTCCACATGCCATTCAGCCAGCAGTACGGCACATAGTCCAGACTAGACTTGGCAACAGCTTTCCTTGGCATTGCAGCGGAAAGAAGGAGAGCCCGCGCACAGCTTTATTCAGCGCTCAAAATGGGACAGCAAGCGCGTGCGTGTACTACCTTCCACTGCATTGCCAAGAAAAGTCGTCGCCGAGTATAGAGACAAGGGGAGGAGGAAATGGAGCATTCAGAGACACAAACAACCAGCTTGCCAATGGATACAATGAACTAGAAGTAGTGCAAAAAGCAGCAGCGGTGCCCAATCGGCCGTGAGAAGCCAAGGGTGTTGAAAGCCCTGCGTGGCGCTATAGTATGTTGCAGCTCAAGAAGAGCAGGAGACGGAGCGCTTCCCTCTTTCCACACTTGCACAGCCAACGCTGGAATATGCTCCTTTCATCTCCAGCATTCGCTCTGCTAATGTGGAGAGAGAAAATGACTCTGTCTCCTGCTCTTCTTAAGTTGCAACGAACCATAATGTTGAAATCCTGGTTAGTTTGTGCTGTGCCCTCCTGCGCCTGCAAAAAAAAGATGCATACTTTTGGCACAGGCTTGCAGCTCATGGTTGCCATATGCAAGCGAGGTGAGGTAGGGCTCGGGAAAAGACCGCTGTACCCCGTTTCACTCAGTGTGAGCCTAGCAGAGTCTAATAAAGCGAGCTCCGAACTTTCATCATCCCTGCCAAGCATATGTGCTCGTGCAATGGAAGCACTCATCAGGGCCACATGCTCGCGCTTGTAGCATTGGCTGTGTCTGGATTTAAGCTGAAACGAGGTTTAGCGCCACTTGGTAGGTCCAACAGAATGTGCCTCACGCGGAGGCCGCCGCTTTTGCCACTACTTAATGTTCTTAGTTCATTGTACCCATGGCATAAACACACCTCCACGAGTCACAAAAAGAAAACAAATTTGGTCAACAATGAAAATGCCACTAAACGGAGATACTTTCCACAGACGTTTTATTATTGCAATGGTCTCGTCATTTGATTCCATCCCACATACACAAAGCATGCAGCGTTTGACTGCGGTCGACTATGTTACAATCGGTTTTTAGGCCTCTCCAGTCGTAAGCAAACTCAATTGTGTGAATAAGCTTTTATCATACCACACTTTAACAATATATGATGCAGGTTGCATCCTCTTCTTCAATTCTAACCAACAAGCACACACAGCACATTGATGGAGCTCACACATTGATGAAGCTCACAGATGTCACTGGCAGTGTCTAACATTGATGAAGTATCACATCGTGCGCCTCAAGGTGACCCACGCATGTCCTTGAATGTAAAGCAAGGAGCCAAGGTTTGTTCGAAATGGTTGAGCAAATGAGCCAGTGGAGGACACAAAGAACCTGCATTGGAAAAGAATGCATGCAATATAAAAAAAGCAGTTGATCAAAACACTGTTCCTCAGTTTCAGCGGTGAACCAGATGTGGTTAGGCATAAAACAATAGTCATTTTTGGTTGACTGTAGCAATCGTGCACAGACGTCACTGCAAGCACAGGATGAAAACAAGCACATTGTAAGGATGAAAACTCCTTATCAAAGGAAACCAAATTTTAACGACACAATGTGCTCCTTTGCAATTTTTTTTTAATAACATCATGAGAGCGTTCACCGGCCCGGCCTGGCGGTCGATTTTCTCTCAATTACTAAAATTGCAAAGCTGTACCCACAAGCAAGTGCACCGAAATACACACAAAAATTTTTGTTGCAACCGTGCATGTGCCTATACTTCTAGCTTCTTAAATTCAGAATCTTGTCGAACAGTTTATCCCTGGTGTAACAAACATACCAATTAAAAATCCTTTTCGTGGCAGTTTTTACCTCATCTGCACTACCTACCCTTATAATAAAATTTAAATGTCCCCAAGCAGAAGCCTCGCTAAAATTTATAAACTCACAACGAAAGAAGTGATACTTAAGCAATTAAAATAAATCCACTCTCTTTGTCACTTCTCCACCTGATGACAGAATGGAGCAGAGTAATTCTGCCGATGAGCAAACAGTATGCTCGGCAGCCTCGAAGACAGCAGGCTGAACTTCAAGTGTCGCCGACTCCGACAGAAGTTTACAAATTTGAAAAAAACAGATGCGTGTACAACCTTCCTTTGAGCCACATTCAAACATAGTTTTCTGGACAATGCAAATTCAATCTCAATTTCCCGAGAAGGCTATACTAGGGCCAGATTTTCAGCTTGCATCCTTGGTCACAGAGCTAATGCCCACTGCACTTGAGGGCGGCAGATGTGCTAGAACCTGCGCCACCGGCATCGCAGCCAGGGCACCCCCTTGATCTGCAACGGCAACCAGCCCAATCTGAATCCCTGCATCAGTTGCAGGCAAAACAACAGCAGCCACAGGTGAAGCAGCAGCAGCCTCAGGCAGGGCAACGGCAGCCGCAGACAAAGAAACATCAGTTGCAGGCAAAGCAGCGGCAGCCACAGGTGAAGAGACTGCCAAGTCCTCTGCAAGCCTGGGCAGACCTGCAGCCTGGTCGGCTGGCTCGGAGGCAGCAGGCTCCGCCTCGGTGAGTTCGATACTCTCGTAGCGGACCGTTTGCAACGTGAACACATTGTCTTTGTTACGTGTGTAGGAGAAGCGCGTGTGCCCCGAGGGCCACTTGAAGCGGTGCTGGGAGACTAGGTGCCTGGACAGCGAGTTGCCACTGGCATACTGTTTCTGGCACAGGTGGCACATGTACACATTCTTGGGGTAGCACAGGTGGTTGGTTCTCACGTGTTTTCTCAGCAGGTACGAACTGCGGGCCACGAACTCGCAGCCCGGGAGCGGGCACGGCTTGCTCTCGCCCCCGTGTGCCTCGAGGTGCTTGCGTAGGTCACCGGGCGTCTTTGCCGAGAAGTCGCAATGGTCGCACTCGTAGGGACGCGCCGTCGAGTGTCGCCACTGCATGTGGTACTTGAGCGCCGAGGGCGTCGGGCAGGTCATGTCGCATGCGGCGCACTTGTACTGGTTCACGTGGTGGCGGATATGGTCGCGCAGCAGCCGCTCCGAGCTGAACCCGCGGTTGCAGTACGAGCAGCTCAGCTCCGGCCGCTCCACCTGTCGCGCCAGGTGGTCCACCAGTTTGGTGCGCGAAGCGAACATGCCGCCGCAGTCCGGGCACGCCAGTTTCTTCTCCTGCGTGTGCGTGCGCAAGTGATCCTTGAGTTTGTAGACGGTCGTGCTTTCAGCGTCGCACGAGAACCAGCGGCATCGCGCGGAGTCGCTGCGCGGTCCGGCTTCGTCCTCGGCGTGGTTGGACACGTGCTCGTAGAAGGCCTCCGGGTTCTCGAAGTCGGCGTCATCACAGCCTTCCCACTGACACTCAAACTGCTCGGGAGTGTCCGGGATAAGGTTGCGGGTCTGCTTGTCGAGTTGGCAGCGCTGTGGCGTCTTCTGCCTCTCTACCAGGTTCTGGCCGTAACATTTGATCTTGGTGTGAAAGGCGTGGAACAGTACGTGGGTTCGCAGCTCACCCCTACTCTTGGGAACCGTCGAACAGTCCCTCCACGGGCACTCGGACGTGTCCAAAAGAGTTGCGTCCTCTTTCAGGTGCTTGTTGACATGCGTGTAAAACTCTGGGCTGATCCCGCTCACGAAGTCGCACTCTAGCCACTCGCAGCGCAGCACGACATTCTCTCCTTTGAACTGCAAGTTTTGCGCGACTTCTGCACGAATCATTCCCACGGAAGGTACGGGCAAACCACACGCGGTTTTAGAAGGAACGTGCAGGAGTAATATGCACAATGACGGCCGTACCTGCCGGCGGCAGCGGGAAGGAAACCAGAAAATCTTGAAACAGTCGTCAGACCACGTCGAAACTCCCAGGGCGCGAAGGGCGCGAATTACCTTGTTGCCAGATTGCGAGTTGAACCTCGGCAAATAACACCGCTTTTAGCCTGAGCTGCTGTAGTGGCTCCACTTTTAGCTACCACCACGACCAACGTTATTAAATTTAGTAACGTTGATCACGACCGACTTTCTGACTACCACACTTAAAGAGGTAACTCACAATTTTCCCCTTCACCATTTTCTTGATGGTAAAGGTACTGAATATTTAGAAAAGACAAGGGTTCACTAACTTTTCCTTACACCGCGTGGATCGAAAAGAGAGAAAAAGCTTAAAGGCCGACCTACAAAATCATTCTCCACATGGTAAAAAAATCTTCCTTGCCACCCCTTTGATTTCACCCTCTCCCACTGCAATTATCCAGCCCCAAGATGCAGCAGCCAATGCAGCGACAAAAGGAGTCTCCCCCGCCGTCAAGGCGTCCATGATGAGCGCTGTATGTAGCACCACACTTCTACCGAATATATACCTTCAAACTAGTATTTTCAAAAATGGTCAATTACAGGCCAAATGAGTACATGCACGCAACAAGGAAGCGTGACAGACCCACTGATCACAGTGGACCAAAGTGTGCCACCTATTGGACAGCACCAATAACTTCAGGAATGCAACATAAGACTTAGCTGTGCATGGACGTTTTGTTGGATTAGCGAACTGTGGTTAGCCATCCAAGCTTATTGGCGACGTGCGCGACCGAAAGCGTCGCTGTGGTCGGCCTTCCACGATTGGCCCAAAAGCTGACTTTGACGTCGGAAAGGGTATACCATTGACGGAAATAAGAGGAATGAAAGAACTTTAATTTCGACGGTGTTGGCAGTGTTGCTTTGAGAGCGCAATGATTTCAGGCTTCCACCATGCTATTTACAAACACCATCAAACTTGTTGTTCGCAAGGTAATGACGTCACAAGGGTGAACCATAAGAGGGCGCCACCAAAACATCTCGCCGCTAATAGACTTCCTTTATACAGAAATTCAGTTTCTGTACCTTTATACAGAAACTCAGTTTCTGTTTCAGTTTCTGTAACAGCGTCCCCTTTTTAAATAAACGGCATTTCTCTAAACGTCACGGCTCGATCCACTTTCCCTAAACCGAACTTTGATAATACATGCCCATTCACTGAAACGTGTTTCTCTGAAATGGCATTCCGTCAACCTAACCCTTGTCGGAAGCTTACAAAGTCAATATAGCTGTGATAAAATCTGTGTTCCAGGTCCGAGATGCTCTCGGCTGCCAGGGTGAGCCAACTGATGCCCTTCACAGCAGCTATCCAAGCTTCTTTTTTTTTTTTTTGCGGGACACATGCTTGTCTGACCAAAATCTCAAAGATCAGGCACTCCATTTCCTGTAAAATTATTTGAGAAACAAGGTCTTGTCTAGCTGCTGTCTCCTCCCAATCAGTGCAAACCAAGTGCTTTGTCTGCTCCTTGCGCTGAATCTATACCCCCTAATCCTTCCAATTAGAGCACAAAGCAACGCTATCACAGCACGCTCTTACCTTCTCCTCTCTTCCAGTTTCTCTCTGTACAGATAAAATAGAGTCAATGGAATGCGACAGCAGCCTAGTTAAGGTGACTGGAGTGGGAGGTGCACTCACTGCCTACTTTGCTTCACTCCAAGGATCCAGGGTGGAAGTAGATGGTGAAGTCATCGAATCTGATCATAAAATTCCAAGAATTGTGCGCTTCTTGCTGGGATCTTGTGGTATTTAGAATGGTCAGCAGTACTCGCTTGGGTGCTGTTGCTAATCGCTTTCCCACCCACTGCACTTTACTTAATTTCCTCAAAACTGTCTTCTATAGCACAATGACAATAAATAAGAAAATTGAGCAGTTTGGCTAAGGGACTACCTAGGTGACGTCCTTTTTAAAAAAGGATGCCTACATAGAACCTTGAGGTGTTTCAACTCAAGATTCCAAACAGTCTGTTTGGGAACCTAGAATTAAGGCTTGCATATTCATTGTGCTGTATCGGAGTCCCCTGGGTAGTCCTCTATGGTTCCAGAATACTCCCAGCAGAAGAAACGAGGCTAGTAAATCCACCATTTGTCGATAAAATGTTGCAAGGGCATTCCACGGAATGTCGTAGCAATGTTGTACATGTTCCTCCAAAACGGAAACGACAGCTCGTTCCTTCTCAATCTTGAAATGAGTTCCCGTAACAAATTACAGTGGTTCGAAAGGAATAAATTCCCGTTACTTATTCATTTTTAAGATTGTAATGTGTCGTTACATTTCCATATTTTTCTGGATAATCCATAGATAAATTGAGCAAGTTAAAACATCTACATCGAACTATGTATTGTGTCGCCACGGCCACATTTGTCCCAGTTCTTTATATTCGACTATCTGTCGGACACTTCCCCATCCCTTAAAATCCGAGGTTGATATAGTCAATAATAAAAAAAGCCTAAATGTCTACTAAAAAAAATGATAAAAAATAATGCCTTTTTGCTGTTTCCTTGAACATGTTACGAGTAACGAATGCATTCCATTAACGTCATGCCTTACAACACTGTCATAGTATCGACAGAATGCGTGTCCATAAAACATATAGCTAGAAGGTTGTTTGTGAAACGTGTTTCAACAACGCATTACAAACCCACTTATTTAATGGCTCTAATGTCTATTATTTCCTATGAAAAAAAAAATGGACTGAGAACAGCAATTGCAGTGTCACCACAGCTCATATGCCCATAGCCTACCAGTAGTAAAATCTGCAGAAAGCCTACAGATTTTTGTGAGGTTACGAACTGGCATTAGTTGGCGTCCAGGCATGCTTCCAAGAGATGGGCACAAAGACCAGTGTCTGCAATCTTTGACCACACTGCTACGACTCCACATATGTTTCTTGCCACTTCGCAGTCCCGATATTTGAGGGTGCTCAAGCTTGGCTCTACCTAGAGAAGCTGGAGTGCAGACACACACCGTTATTCCGAATGAACTGCATAATACATTTTGCTTATCCAGAATGAAAAGTAAACAGAGGATACCTCCAACATTCTTGTATATCATTATTCATACAATGCAACCACAAGTGCTCGAAAAATGAAAATGCCCATTAAATATGCAACCACAAAAAGGTAACATTCTCATAAAGCCGCAAACACTGCCCAACTACTGCCCGACTACGGGAGGTCAGCATTAACAAAGTTATTGCAATTATTTACCTCTGTGGATATGAGATTTAGTTTATGAAAAACAGGAAAACATTGCTATAGATCGATTTGCCAATGTAAGAGTTACCATTTGCTGACACCTGAAACTATTCACACTAAACCTACAAGTGCTAAAGTTACACAACTAAAACAGCAATCAGACACCAAAAAAACCATGTTATATTTTTAGCAACCTTCTTTTATTTTGAAATGAATGATCTTCAACCTCATGGCTACTGTTTGAATCTTTTGTACATAAACACCTCTGACGAAAAAGCAACAGCCGAAACGTATTCACTATGCTCAACAAGACACAAAAACTGCAAGCGCACCAGGCACTGCTTCTAGAATGTTTACAGCAGGTTTTTTGACACCAGCACAAAAATGATGAGACAGTGAGAGGCTGTGCAAACATGAATGCATTCTCTTGAACAAACACAAGAATTCTGTCAATTTCCCAGCAACTGGGGTTAGAAAGTCACTCCTAAAAGGTATTGGACGGGGCACTGAAGGCACACAATCAGATTGTTGTCTACAGATGTCTTTCTAGAGGCGTTGGCAGGAAAAGAAACCCCTTGATGCAGATACACAAGCTCCAATTCTGCAGCCAGGCCAATGGGAAGTGTAGAAACATTACACTCAACATGCCAAGAAAAACAAATAAAGACCTAGGAAATACATTTCCCCAGCTATAGCCAACAAAACAAATAAAACTTTACACAATTACGCAATGATCCAAAAGTTGCTCATATGAATGGTAAAGGGGCAATCTTCTTGCACATTTGCTAAAAATAACCAATAGAATTTTGTAACACTTGGCACTAATACTTTATGCAGATGACCCACACCGCAAAATGAAGTCTTCAAAATGTCAAAGCTGAATGAAGACATACTAACCATAGAGTGCATTGCATTTTAAAGCCACATACTAAACCGTTTTCGCAAGTGAATGCACCATAGACCATTCCACCACCCGCCAAAGCTTTTCAAACATATGATCTCTGGAATATTGCATACATACACAATCTAATAGTTTTGATGGGACAGCTCAGCCCACACCCAGGGAAAGGTTAAAAGAGTGCAAAACACTAATTCTGGAATAGTATATTGAAATATGCATAAATACTGTAAACTTCCATGCAATAGTCGGAGATAATTTCGGTTGTCGGTGAATCACATGCACTGGCAGCTTTCACCAGATCCTGCTCCATATGGCTACCTTACAAAGGTGGAAAATATAATGAGGTCTTGTAAAAATCCAGGTGGAAACATTCGAATAAACTTCTGACATATCATGTCACCAACAACCTTACTGTTCTTTTAAAATTTTGCACAGTGGCCTATGAATGGCAGAAAAGATCAGCCCATTAGAATTTGCAAGCGTGCAGTCTCTTACAATCATAGTTTTGCTGCTTAGCGATCTGCAAGCATTGAGTGGAGTGACCAAACTTGCAACAGCCATTGTGCTCCATACTACACTGATCAGCCAAAAAATTATGGCCACCCGTACATTGTGGAAATGAGCACATCTAGCTGATATGACATTTGCATTATCTATCATCCTTTGTGGATAACAGTTGCCAGGGGTACAAAAGTATCATTATGTTGACTCCGCGTGCGTGTAATGGGAAAGGTTGCTGATTTAAGCAGCTTCGACAAAGGGCAGATAGTAATCTCAGGATCACTGCTGACCAGTTAAACCCATTCATGGCTTGTCTTTGCCACTGGAACTGGAATCTTCCAATAGGGCAATACTCCATGTCACTAGGTCAGAATTGTACTACAGTGGATTAAAGAACACAATGACAAATTCCATCTGATGTCCTGGCCACCTAACTCATCAGATGTAAGTCCTATTGAGCACATCTAGGATGTGACAGGGCACCAGCTCAGAGCTCACAAACCACCTCTTCGTAATCTACAGGAATTATGCGACATGTGCTTACAAATCTGGTGCAATCATGATCAAGGCAGTGAACTAGGACTTGCAAAATCCGGGCCAAGACAGGTTGCAACTGTTTTGCCTGCTAAAGATGAATCAATGTGGTAATGGGTGGGCAGTCATAATGTTTTGGTTGATCAGTATATAATGCGCTTAGTTTTTAAATGGGTGTTTAGGGAAAATGTTCCTTAACATATGTAACCAACCGCACTTAGTGTAACCCTAATGTATAAACATGTCTCGGAGGTGTATTTGTATGTTCAGAATAGTCTCATAAAAATGAGCAAACAAAGGTGATGTAGTAGGGAGATCTCTAAGAAACATTAGACACAAATAGGCACAAGCCAGATCATAGCATAATACTTAAAAACTTGCAGCATAAGGAAAATGTGCCCAGTGGATAAGTCAATGGTTTTAATGTAAATAGAGGAGTAAAAGCATCTGGTTGAGACATTGTCAAACAAGTTTTACAACAAATAGCTGAAATGGTCATCCCTATTGTGTAAATCTATAGAACATGAAACCCATATATGGAGATAGAGAAATAATGAAGAGGCCTACAAACAACAAAGGCTCATAAGAAATTTTCAGTCAGGACACCATTTTCTGGGGAATTTAAAATTCCAGCTGCACTAACAGGAGATAAGCCCCCCCCCCCCCCCCCTCCCCTCCCTCTTTCCAGAAAAGAACTCATCTGTCAGGTTGAGCGTCGAGTGTCAAACCAATAATATATAAATAATTCAGATGTAACACATCTGCAAGTTGAGATCAATGCTCAAACCATCCGCTAGCACCTTTGTCCAAGTGCTCTACATACTGTGGTCCCAACACCAAGCAACTGGATAAACCATCTCTCAAGAAAATAGAGCTCTCTGTACACAAGCAACAAGGCGCGTTTCCCCCTTTGCTCGACCCATTCTGCTAGCGGTCAATCGCAAATGAAGGCGAAAGGGACAGCAAGGACATTCAAAATCAACAAGAAACAAAAGAACATCACAGACCAGCACACCTCCAAACTTGAAACCTATCAGCGACCACATAAAACTTGGTGCATGTTTTTTCACCTGAGCAAGCATGAATTCAGTCACTAAACTAGCAGTGCAAGGTATAAAGAGCAAGCACCCTCAACACAAGACGGATCTAGGAAGCCAAAAGCAGCAGATATACAAGCCAGAGGAAACTTTATAGTAACTAGATACAAAGTTACCGAGCCCACTGTAGTTTGATGGGCAAGGTCATGAAGAAATTGGTGACATAGAAATCAAGTACATTTCCAAAGCACATATTGGTTTAATACTTACGCCAGCACAAGCTGCACAAGAGTGAAAAAAATGTAATGGTTCTTATTTGTAAGTGATGCAGCATAAAAAAAAAAAAAGCCATGTCTCGATCAAATGCATGACAAAAATGTCCCACTTCAGGTGTCACAAGCAGCTTTGTCATAGAAAGACATTGGCTCCAATGAGATGAAAAGTTTTGTACCACAAGTTTAAATGTTCGAAACCAGTGCTCCGTTCCGCCGTTGCCATGTTTGTAGAGAACAAGTATGTCTGATATAAATGCTCTTCTTAGCAATATTCACAAGTCATGATATCGCTCACTGTAAGCCAATGCAAGTTCCTTCATCCCTCTTTCGACAGCATGTGTAGCATGTGAGCAAGAAAATACACACAGTGGTTCCACTTGCTACATGATTTGGCACCAACATGCTCTGCTAATTACATCATCCACACTGGCCAAAGGAAATTCAGAAAGGGTTGATCACCAAGATTTGAAAGAGGATGTGTACCACATTCTCTGCCAACCAAATCCCCAAATTACCCGAGCTTAGAAACTTTACTCTTCCAGGAACATGCATGCCAAAATGGCACATTGTTACTAACAAAAATGCACAGAAAAAGAAAAGGTGAGCACCAAGCAAGGAAGCCAAACTTCACCATTATACCTAAAACCAAAAAGACCCCTATGTTCACTCACTACAACTAATAAAATATGGAAACTAGTAGCACTACATCATGGGAAGTTCCCTCTAGTTTATTTGAATGGACATATTAAAAAAGGATTAAAAAAAAAACAAAAAAACAGATATGCAAACAAGCATGTCTTGCTTTGCCAACAGCCCTAGCAACTTCTCTGTTCTCTCTTTACACTGTATGCCACAAAACTCTTAATTTCCACAACCCCGCTTGCTTGGGGGTCAGACTAATCGGACCCGTTCGCGACCTCTCAAGATAGCAAGTCTTGGTGACCTTTCAAACACTCGAATCATCAATGGTGTGTACTATTACCAAACTTTATGTAATTTAAGTGCTTAAAAAAATTTTTTTTTTTTTTGTTGTCTATGTACAAAAGATTCACATAAATGGTAATGAAAAGAACTCTCTATGGAATGGGGCTAGCTCTTCCTTTGCTAATTTTCCAAGCCATTGCCAAGAAGAGGACAGAGGTCTGCTGGCCAAGAAGTAGACTGTTGGCACGATTGCCGATGGGAGGACGTTGGCCGGTCTCATGTTCTGCCGTTGCCATACGCCTTGAGCAAGAGGCTGTAGCCTTCGTCATCCTGACCTGAAGGCAAAATAGAAACAGTGAAGATACTGCTTGAAACTAGAAAGGACAATACATATATAAAAATAATACAGTCGACTCGGTTTTTCTAAGGTCACGGGGAGACTGAAATGCTTTACATTACCACATTTTCCAGTGTGTAAGGCCTGCTTTTTCAAAAATTTTCTTCGTTATACTCCAAGCATGAACCTTAGATGCACAAATTTGACACACGAAATTACCGACAAACAAATCGTTTGATTCATTGGCAAGAGTATTGAAACTGGCTCCAGCTATGCCTATATCGCGATCGCAATACACATACTGCAGTTTTGCAGTATGTAGTTTTGTCGGGCTGACTAAAAATATATGGCTGTTTCATCTCAACTCAAGCATGATTTTGGGGTTGAATATTTAATTTTGAACAAAAACATATATGGTTTGGGAGCATTCTTAAAATGAAAGAGTTCCAATGGCAAGCTTGGAGGATTATTTTTTTTCTCAAGTTATTGACCATTGAAGCGACCGAGGTGAAAAACTGACGTTTCTCCCGCCTGTTGAAGATCACATGTTGACCGCTTGCTACTTTCTCACTTTTCAAAATAAAGCACTAGGAATTTTTGGTGACCCTCTGGAACTAGATTTCATTATTCCTAAGGAGTTAATAAACTTTTTATATTTTGGAATAATTAAAAAAAAGATGTTGAACTGTTTCTTCGATGAGTATTGGCAAAGTCTGGCAAGTCCTTATGTGTAACCTATTAAAGATATTTTAATGACCTTGAAATCACCCGAAAGCTCAAATCTAGCACTTTTCAATTAATAGAAATTCAATATTAGTATATAACTAAAATGAAATCCGTTACCTATGTTTGAATGATTTTGAATGAAAATCTAGCAAATTCGGAATCGATTTTCAAGAAAAACCCATTTTTTATTTGTTTACGTTTTTGTTAGTATTAAGGTATAATAGTGGTTTATAAGAAAATACAAACATAAGATATAGTGTTCTGTTTATACAACAGTAATTAAAGCTTCAATCTTGTCTGTGGTTTGCAAAAACAGCAAGCTTTGTTAAGAAGTAAAATGATTTTTACTCCATAGGTTGGCATTTTGAACCTGAGTCACTCAATATCACATCCTGTTCACATATTTTTTCCAAAATTCATTCATGCTGATATCACACATTTTTTCAAGATCCAAAAGTCACCAGCCAGTCACATCACTAAGTCCACCAAGATTCAAAAGTCACCGCCATTTAAATCACAGATTATCACGATAGAAAAACTCCCAACCCCTTACATCACCTGTGACTTCCATCATGAACAATATCATCTATATCGCCGAAGTCAAACCCATAACTATCACAAAACATCACAGATTTTCAAATGTCACGAAATATCCCCGACTCACAAATGTCATGAAATATCGCCGAATCACAAATATCACAAATGATCACAGACTTCAAAATATTATGAAATATTACCAGCTCACAAATATGATGAAATATCACACTCACAAATATTAGGAAAATCATCAACTCAGAAATATTGCGAATATCACAAACTCACAAATATCGGAAATATTACAAATATCACCGACTCACAACTATCACGCAGGTGTACGTCACTGTGCTGCTAGCTATCGTTTGGTTAAGTTTTGGTATTTGCCGTTCAAAGCCGAGCCAGACTCGATGAAGCACCGTGGCTCCGTAACAATACAAATGCCGCTCGCTTTGCTCCTTTTTTTTTTTTTTTTCTTTTTTGCTTGAAGAAGGGTGGATATTAGCCTGGTGGATTCAACCAATCCACAGCTTGGTAGATTGGTTGAAAACATGTGCCATATTTGCACGAATATAATGAAACTATGAATATAGGAACTGTAGAATACTGCGCATCCGCCCATTCCACATTAAGCGCCCATTCCCAAATTTCTAAGATCTGAGAAAATATGCACAGTAGATTGATACGTAAAATTGATGACCGGACAAGCGCCCATACCCCATTTTTCCACGATTATCTCTAAATTTTGAGTGGGCGCTTGTCCGGTATTTTACAGTAACGCGAGGACATATTTTGATGCACACAAAAAGAAAAAATATGTTATTACTATTATAACGCAAGCTGAGGCCGCATAAATATAATGCACTTGGAGTATAGCAAAAGTGAAAAGGCAATGGAAATCAAAGGAATATCAGTTGATGTCTTGACTGCACTCATCCTCACTGCTCAAGTCCTCCCATTTGCAATCCACTTGGAGACTTCGCAGATATATAGCAGCACCGTACCGCTTGTCTGGTAGTTCCTTTTTCTCGGGCGCGAATTCCTCGGCAGCCCACAAGCAAAGCAAGGCACGAAGCAGAAGCACCAACACGGAAACACAGTAAGACGACTCTGGAGCAGAAACTAAAAATTGTACAAGTAATAGAAACAGCGCATACGGTCACTGACCGATTTTTCAGACTCGGAGGGAACGAAATTGTCCAAATAATTTTGGGCCCAGAATCTTACTGAAATTAAGTCAGAATACATTTTTGAAAAATTAAATCTGTTTCTTTTAAGTTCTAGAGGATGTAATGAAACTAGAATTAACTAGAATTCTTCATTTAGATAAAAAAAAAAAACTTTTTTCACTTCATTATGAACATCAATTACATTTATATGTAAAGCTTCATAACAAAAATTGATGTGAGTGATCAATACTGTGTTTGCACAATTGTAAAGTGCATTTTTTTCGTCAAAATCGGTGCCCGAAATTAAATGCGCGTTACATTCAAAACCAAAAACCGAAACTAAAAAAACCCCGCAATACTCGGTATAGATGCTTTCAGCGAGTCAGTTACTCGAGCTGCCACCAGTCGGCGCGCTCTTCACGCGCTTTCCGGGCCGCCATAGCCGACCTTCAGTTTCTCGCCGTTGCTCCGCGTTGTGTGCCGCACAGGCCACTAAGGGAGCTTCGTTTTCGTGTTCTTTTACGTTCCGCGTTGAAATCTTGTATTTTTTTTAGATCTTTTCGATATTTAGGACTTTCATTTAATCATTTGATATTTACATTTCGACATAGCTCTTGAGTTTTCTTATTTATGGAATGGAATCGGACAGCGAATGGGTCGACGATACAAGATTATGACGCTTCAATGACCATGTAAGCTCATCCCATTCTTACGTTTTTGTAGCTAATAACTAATAAAGGGCAGTCAACACATACTGCGACATATGTAAATTGCAACTGACGCAGTAAGGCTATCACAGTCGTGCTTCCCGCTGCATGTGTGCACTCGTTTCCGTAAAGCCGACCCGCATGTAAGCGATTTAGCGTGCGACGCGACGAGTGACGGAGATTTCTCGCCGTCGCCCATCCCATCGCTCGGTTTTGGGATTTCCGAGAAAACGTCGCTCACCGTCTTGGTCGCTTGCTCCGTCGCTTCCAGGCGGTTTGCCTCATCACGCGACTGACTGAGCGACAGCGAAGCGGGTCGCCGTCGCTTATCTGGTCGCTCGCCAAATCGCTTACATGCGGTTTATACTCAATTAATTTTCATGCACACAGCATTGAACCATTGGCGCCTCGATATTAAGTATAAACCGCATGCAAGCGATTCGGCGAGCAACGAGACAAGCGACGGCGACCCGCTTCGCTGTCGCTCGGGCAGTCGCACGACGAGGCAAACAGCATGGAAGCGACGGGAGCAAGCGACCAAGTCGGTGAGCGACGTTTTCTAGAAACCCAAAAAACCGAGCTATGCAACAGGCGAGAGTGAGAAATCTTCGTCGTTGACTCTCGTTGTTGTCGCCGTCGCTCGTCTCGTCGCACGCAAAATCGCTTACATGCGGGTCGCCTTTACGGAAACGAGCGCGCACATGCAGCGAGAAGCACGACTGGATTGCCTTACTGCGTCAGTTGAAATTTGCATATGTCGGAATGGTGTTGACTGCCCTTTATTAACGAGAAAAAACATTAGAATGGGATGAACTTAAATGGTCTTTGAAGCCATAATCTTGTATCGTCGATCCGTTCGCTGTCCGATTCCATTTCATAAATAAGAAAATACAAGAGCTATGTCGAAATATAGATATCAAATGATTAAATGAAAGCCCGAAATATCGAAAAGACCTAAAGAAAACACGATTTCAACGCGGATTGTAAAAGAATGCGAAAACAAAGCTCCGGTAGCGGCCGGTGCAGCACACAACGCGGAGGAATAGCGAGAAACTGAAGAGCGGCTATGGCGGCGGGGTCACGTGACGTCAAGATGGCGGCGCCCATGAAATGTTGCCTGAAAGGGTCTATAAGGTGGCTAGTCCCATTGCCATTGGGACTGTTTCTTTACATTTGCCACTGAGTGTTTGATATAGAGTCAAATCAAATAGTACATTATATATATGGCAATAATCGCAAGTTCTAAAAACTCGCCTACCGTAAAGATCCGGCCGGGTAGTAAGGCCTGAGCTATTATACTTTCAGTGTTAAAAAAAATTAAGCTTTGGTGCAAATTCCTTGCATTTTAGTATGTAGCAGGGTAAGCATTTTGGTACAGTTTAGCACAAATGGCATAGCAATTACATCACTGATTTGCAAGCAGATAAATTCACAATGTAAAGACAGAGTCACTCAGTCACATCACAGGCTGATCTCAAGGAGTTACTCAATATCACAAACCCAGGGTCATATCACAAAGTCACTCAATAACATCTCATAAACTCACAGTCATATCATGGAGTCACTCAATATCACCTCAAAATCTCAGACCCATATCACAGTCACTAATGTCATCTCACAATCTCAGTCATATCACGGAGTCACTGAATATGATTTCACAAAGTTTGACTCAGCCACTCAATATCACCTCACAGACTTAATCATATTGCCGCCTGCATGATTGAGAAGATACACTTCTTGGTTCATCTAGAAAGTTTGCGTATACTCTTACCCCCAGCGGAAAAGATAAGGAGGCCAGAATGGCCTTGCCCAGTCATTCTCGCCCTAAATCTTCCCCGAACATCCTAGGTCGAATATTCGAGATGATGAGCATAGTAGATAAAGAGCCACATGCTGTATTGACGATTCATTCACTGATTCTCTCGTGATAGACAGCTGTTATGCTGACGCACCGCACCGCTTGCAGCTGCCGCCGTCGAAGCTTGCTGCTGCTTTCTGCGCATGTTCTTTCGTGTTCTTTTTCGTTTCTGGCACAAGTTTGCCCCCATGAAATCTTTGGTTCATCCTGTTTTCTCCTGTCTCATATTCATGGAGTCACTCAAATTCACTCACAATCACACGGTGAGTGTCAGTGAGTCTGAGTGAGTAAGTTGGTGGGTGAGGTTGCCGAGGCAGTTATTGCTCTGCACTATGCACAATTTCACTTACATGTTAATTAAAGTATTAATATTAGGTAATAAACTACACCCTGCTACAATGTAGACCAGAAAAGCATCTATGCGAGTCACAACGAACAACTGATAAGATACAATATGAAGCATGGTGTAAGTGATGGCGTAAGGCACAAGCATTAATGGCAGTCATACAAACAAAATACTATATTTTCTGTTTATATTTTCTGATAAATTACAAACATACCTTGCTACTAATAAAACCAAAAGCAAATAAAAAATAGGGCTTTTGAAAAAATCGGTCTCAGATTTGCTGGATTTTTTAATATTTGTTAATTTTTAATGTATGTAACATTACTTTATTTGAGTGATATCCCAGTAAACTTGTATTCAATAAAAAGACCACAAGTTTGAGCTTTCCGGTGATGTCAAGGTCATTAAAATATCTAAGTAGGTCCCACTTAAAAGTTTGCCAAAATTTGCCAAAAATCAGCAAAGGGGCACAGTTATACATTTTTAAAAATTACTTTAGAAATAATATATTTTTCTCAATTCATTGAGCATGACAACTCTACTTTGAGAGTGTAACAGAAGAGTCCTATTGAAATATATTGAAAATTAACAAAATAGTAAGTGGTCAAACAGGCAATTCCCAACAAGGGGCAGAAAACACACGTCCCTTTGATGATTTTTGGTAAAGTTTGGCGATTTTGGCGCAATCACTCGGTGTTTTTCTTCTGGAAATTTATATTTTACCCGAAAAGTGGGGTGGGCGATGACGCGAAGGTGGGCGATGACTTAGAATAAGTATTATGGTAATTGAAGAGGGCCATGTTTTGTGAAAATTGTTGAAGGATGAGGACCCTGTTCATCAGCCCAAACCAACAAATGAATGCAGCATGCAGCAACCTTTGTTCTCTCGCTTACTTTGCAGTACTTTCCTTCAAATGCTCTACTGCTCTATGCACAAGTGGCAAACCCAAAAGCCTAGACTGGTGAACTTAAAGAAATGCGTGAGATTTGTCCAAGTCTCGACCCTAAAGTCTAGACTGCTTGCCTATCTTTCAAACGAATTACATAAAGGTTGGTGGTCTATCTGAATGCCCATTACAACAAAAAGTTTCTTTTCAAGATATCAATCAGGCACAAGCATTATTTACCTCTTAAGAGTTCTAGGATGTACATTGATTCATCCGCCATGTTCCGCACCACCTGTAACATATACCAAAACAATGAGTTCCCTGTTTCCAAATAGTGCCAACACTCAATTCAATTCGTCAACAGTCGCCAGAAAAATTTTCTCATGTTCTCAAGAAACAGAACCTTATGGAAAAACACAACATAGAATCCACAAGTTTGGCCTTGTTACAAACAATACTCAATTCATAAGTAGTGAGCAAAGTTTAAGAACTTAGATATTAGGAAGTCGACGTACTAGCATGAAACGTGAAAAAACAAGTGAACTGATCGACGTATCTAGACTGAGCCAACTTGTGTGCAAACCTCGGGTCAAGTACAAGTGAGCAGAGACATCCAACTTTTTTAAGTGTGCTCAAATCTGCAAGTATTCAGGTTTTTATTCCTCTGCAGTGGTTTCCACTGAGACACAAAAGAAAAAGATGCCAGTGCGACCATCACAACACGAAAACATCTACAAGAATGCCAGCACTTGCACGTGCAGCTCAATTCCGCACTGCGCGAACATTGCAAATAATTCGGGTGCAGGTCAAATGCCCCTTCATCGTCAAATAAATAAGACTCTGCAATAGGTCTGTGGTGATAGGCTAAAATTTTGTCAGCATTGTCATTAGTGTGCTACAATCAATATTCTGTAAGAAGCAAGGGCCGCAAGGTGGGGGGGGGAGACCCACCTCGTCGGTGACCAGGACGTGTATTCCGGAGGGGCCGTCGACGTACACCTCGTGCACAGAGAAGGGGGAGAGGCTGCACAGGTCAGCCAGCTTGGTCAGCAGCTCCAGCACTGTCAGGTTCTTCAGGTACACTGCCCGGAACACTGCATGTGCGCCAGAGAGGGAAAAGGCACGGCCTCGCACGGCTGCACTGAGCTACATGGGTCCATCTTAGGATTATTCGAGCTTGGTATTCTTAGTGCTGTTTTCTCACCTCAGGTCAAAGAAGCTGTTGGAACCTTTGTTCAAAATAAACCAAATAAAATAATCGTTTTCTTTTTAAATTATGTTTGCCGATTTAGCGATTTAAGTAGAATGTTTTATGAGCATTCCGCCCAGATCTAATTTATCTTGTAGGAACATAGATTCCAGGGTATACAAGACTATGAAGTATTGCTTTGCTAAACTCCTATTGCCACTTTTTGCAATAACTCGCAACATTGCATTTCCTCACAAATGGGGAAGTTTGCTCAAGTGGTTGCACTCGTGCACCAAAGAGCTTCAAATGATTCATCTGGAGGTATGTTTTTCCTTATAGAGAAAAACAAGAGAGAGAAGAGTAATCAATCACCAGATTTGCTATATCCATAGATAACCAATTTTCATTAGGAGAATGAAGTTTGGCTTTTTTTTAAAAAGACATTTGGTAAATCAAATTGTAATTTTTCTTCCTTTTTCTAAGAACACCATTTTCCTGATATTTTTTTTTATGTAGATAAAGACTGTAAGCAAGGCAGGGCATCAACTTCCTACATTAGGGATGACAAAAACGATGATGAAACATTGTTCTTTGTTTTGAAACTATCATGGTGGCATGCCAGCCCATGCTGGAGGTGCATACACATTACAAGCAGCAGCATTTTCTAAAAATTGCATTGGAGGGCGAAAAAAAAAAAAAAAAGCAATAAAAATGAAAGTCACTAGCTATCTCAGGCATCGGGTTCGATACTGAACTCGCTAAACAAGTGTAGAGAGACGCAAGTCAATGAAGTGCCTCATTTACCTTGTTCCGAAGCAAGGCAGATGTAAGTGGTCAGCCTTGGGCGAATGTTCCTGCACAAAAACCACCCCCAAAATTTTTACACCGCAGCATAGATCAATGGTGGAACACAAGGGCTGCTTTGAGTGGAGGTAAGGGCAAGCTAATGCTAGATAGCATGTATCCACTCTGCTAAATTTTAATTTGTTTGTTTAAGACGTATTTTAATGATTTTTTCACCACCTTGACCTTACGTCATTTGTGGGGAAGATGAGGGGTGAGAGATGGGGAATACGATGAGGAAATTTCAAAGATAACTTCCCTAAAAGAACAGGGTGCCATAAATTATCACTTTGGTACTACCAGGTGGTAGACTCTTGAAAAAACATCAACAATGAACTCATCTGATTCAGAAGATTAAAGCACACATTAAATGTTCGCTAACTGATACCTTGCTTCATTTATCCACTTTTGTCCAGTCAAGCTCTGCAGTGTTCAACAGCACAGCTTCTTGACTTCAATGAAAAGGAGGCCCATTACATGTGCAATGCACAAAATCCCCTAGTTAATTGTAAATTCAGGGCACTGCAGTTCTGCAGACCCCTGAACTTAAAAAAAAAAACACTTTTTGATTCACACAGGCAAACAAACAATTTAAGTTCTCTTGTTGCACAGAACAACACTACCGTAAAGTTCCGAGAGAACGCCCACTCCCGAGAGATCGCCCATCCCGTTTTTCTGGCTAAATATCTGTAACATAGAATTTCTGAAACATCGCCCACCCCCCGATTCCCCTCAGACGTCACGCAATGTCCGACACGAATCACATCAACCGCGCAATTTGCTGTACCGGCATGTCTGACAAGCGAGTTCATAGCGGGTTTTTTCGTTTTTGTCTGCGATCTGCACACATGGTATCGGCTCCTGTAACATGCAAGTTGTTCCCGCGTGAATGTAGCACCGTGAAATGCGAATCTGCTGCGTCCGCAATCTGCGGTATCCATTCCCGTGACATATAGCTTGTAGCGGATTCCCGCAATTTTGTCCACAATCTCGATTCCCCGCGAGTTGGTCCCGTGTACAGTTGAACCTCGATGTAACGAAGTCGGTAAAATTCGCAATTTACTTCGTTACATTGAAATTTCGCTAAATCGAAATTTGGCTTTAGCATGCGAAAAAAACAAATTCCGAAACATTTTACGGGTATGAAAACTCACCGAAAATGACATTTATTTAGGGGCAAAGTAGTCCGCGAGTTTTGCTTGCGCCTTGTCTGACAGTAGCAGCGGCGTCGGCGGCGTCATACGGCGTTCGAGCGCCCAGAGCGCTTGCACGGCATCTTGCTGCCCATGCGACGCCGTGTACCTCCTCAGTACGTCCATTGCGTCGAGCACTTCCCGAGTGCTCGTGATCTCGGCAGTTTCTTCAGGATGGCGTCCAAAACGTTTGCTTTCTCATCCAAAAAAAGAACTTTACGTTTCCTTATGCCAGCAAGCACGTAAGTGAACTGCCCGGTTAAAAAATAAAGCTGTTTAGTTTAGGCGGTTTAGGCGGTGCCAATGTTTCCAACCTACACAGCACTCTTGACCGCACAGTTTACTTGCCCCCTTGCGCCCACAGTGTGCTTGCGCCTTTGCTTTACATCACGCTCGCAAGACGATAATCGGTCTTTTCGGTCTTCTCCTAGATGGCACTGCCCGTGCGGTCGCGCGGTCGCGCCATCACGTCGCTCCCCCGCTGAAGTTGGCTCCCGCGCTACCCGCGGTACAGTGGACTATGATGATCAGTGAATGTCAGTGGTGATGCTGTTATGCCGTGTTAACTTTTTGCTCGGCATTTTCTGGCCAGCCTCGCGGAATCCGCTTTGCCGCATGCCTCGCCGGCGCTACCGGCGCCGCATCCTCGGGCAGCCTAGGAACGTTGGAAGGCCCGTCCCCGTGAAGTAACCTATTAAGCGCTCGCGTTTGCGCATAATTTTTTTTTTTTTACCACAATTTTTTTGCGAAGTTGTTTTTTAGAGTTGATTTATTTATTGCCTTCTATGGCAATGGCGCTTCGTTATATTGAAATAGCAGCAAAATAGACTTCGTTATATAGGGACTAAAAATACATGGGGTCTATGGGCAAGAAATTATGAAAAATGAAATACTTCGTTAAATCGAGGATTTCGTTACATTGAAGTTCGTTATATCGAGGTTCGACTGTATATAGTATTGCATCATGAAATACAATTCTGCTGCATTCGCAATCTGTGGTATTTGTTCCTGTAACATACCAGTTTGTAGTGGATTCCCGCGTTTTTGTCTGCTACCTTAAAGCGCGATATTGGTTCCTGTTACAGGCAAGTTTGTAGCGGGTTCCCGCGTGTTTAATACATCATAAAACTTGAATCTGCTGCATCCGCGATTTGCGGTGATCGTTCCCCTGAGATGCGAGTTCTCGGCAGGTTTCCGCGAATCCTTCGAACTGCGAAACACGAATCTGCTGCGTCCGCAACCTGCAGTATCCTTTCCCGTGACACAGGAATTTGTAGCGAATTCACGCGTGTTTATTGCATCCTAAAATGCAAATTTGCGGTGTCTGTATTCTGTGGTGCCAGTTCCTGCGTCACGTGGTTTGTAGCCAGTGCCAAGGTGTTTATCATTATGTTTTGATAAAGTTTTGCTGTGGCATCCCCAAAATAGCCCACCCTATGTTTTTCACCATTTGTCTCTTCATTTCAGGTGGGTATCCTTTAGGAACTTCACGGTAAATGCTGCCCACACACTGCACACCAAACTTTGAAGAAAGTCATAGACGTGTAGAAAAATACTAAATGCAAGTTAAATGGAACAAAATGCTAGCACTAAACGTGTGTGTTATGTCATTTTGTTGTCCCAAGAAAAAAAAACACTGTGTATTTATTGATTTCAACAAAACATCAATGAATGACATAGTAGGGTTTTATCAAATTTCATTGCACTTTTGCACAAAGAATTAGAACTCCAGTGATGATCCTTCTATGTGTTCATAAAACCCCATTCTATATGTGGCAAGTTGTTTGCAGCAAGTAGACGATTCGCTAGCCAAGCCAAGCGTGGCAGCGGGCATGCGCGAATGGAAGTTACAGACCAACAGCATGGCTGTGTGGTGCTCATGGGCAACAAAGCTGGGCTAGAGCAATTTTGTTTGTTATTTATTTACTTATTTCAAATAGCATTAGGGCCATCAGAGCGTTGTAGAGGAGATGGTTCATCCATCGGATATACTGATCTCAACAAACATGTTCAGCAGTCCACTCCCAGACAGTGAAGTTGTGCAAGTTATTAGGCCGAAGAACTGTTGCATCGTTTTCCATGTAAAATCCTAGACTACTACGGTGGGCATCGAGGACTTTTTTTTTTTGTAAAGAAAACACCAAAGACACCCAAGAAAGGTTTGCTATGTTAACTATGACACGTCTCCATCAGCAGAGGCCAACAAAAATAAAAAAATTCTCCCAAATGAGTACAAAAAAAAAATGGTTTGAGTAACATAATAAAATCAGAAACACGGAAAACAAAGACACACAACACAACAAAGGTGTTGTCTGTGATATTCCTATGACATGTGGCTTTTGTTATGTTGGGCAGACTGGCTGTTGTGTTAATGAAAGGCTCCTAGAGCACAAAAGGGCAGTACTGTCAAACTTGCCCAACTCCGAAATAGTCAAGCATCTAGATAAGTATAACAATCGCGTACCCGAGTGGAAATCGACAGAGATAATTTGCAAAGAATTGGAGGCGTTTACCTAACATGTTATGAAGAAAACAATTAGCATTATGTCAGCAGGGAATGATGTTAGCTTTCCTTCCGTTATTCTTGATAAACAATCAGGGCGTTTTTGCTGTTGTAGTGTTTAGATTTTGTTCCGTCAATTTTTTGTGGTTCGCTTTGCAGGTTGTAAGTGATTAGATATCGGCGATGGGTGGTTCCCTTTTTGCTGATACTAGCAATTGTTGTTTTTGCACGTCCGCGTCGGCTGTTGGTTTTTGTGATAAAAGAAGGCCTTGTGAATAAAACCTTTTAGCTGTGTCTGAAATGGTGTTGTGTGTGACCTTCTAGTTTTCCTATCTCCGGTTTTATTATGTTGCTTAATATTCATCAGCTCGTCTGTGCCCAAACCCTTCTTTCAGTTGGTTTGGGTATGGTTTTTTAATTCAAAGTTCAGTCAATTCCAAGTGTTTCTCTGTCCCAATAAGCTTCAAATTAAGGAGTCGACTGTACTACGGCTAGCACAGAAGATAATATTGCAAAAGAGCCCAAGCGAGCTCAGTAACCCCGCCTTTGAGTACAAAAATCTACAGGATGATGGTTTACCAGCACGGATTGCGGCGAGGGTTAGAACCAGACGTACGTCGTGTCATTCATTCAGCTATTGCTACCAAATCACTATTTTGTTATGGGTCTGCCAACAAAAGTTAAAAAAGGCCTATTTCAGCGAGCACTAGTTCTAATATACTACAAACCTTTGCTTGCCCCTGCGTCAATGTGAAAAAAAAAAAAAAAATCTATTTAAAAAAAAAAAAGAAACTTAGTTATTTATTTAAAGGGAAACTGAGTCGCTTTCCAGGATGCCCAAGTTAGGAGCAGACTTCCATAGCTTTTTGTCCCGTAAATTCAGTTATCACACTCGACTTGGGCAAAAATAAATGTAAACCGCACTTATTTAAAAAAATATGCGCAGCGATTGCCGTAGGGCATGAGGCGAGCTTCTCTGCCACCCGTTATCTGTCCAGAGCATCACGAAGTCGTCGTCGGCATCCCCGAGTCAGCTTTGTGCGAGCAAGGGTCACCTGACCCCGCCAATGACGTCATTTCTGCTAGTTTTTCTCTCCAGCGCTCAGCGCGCTGTAACGGGCAGGGCTATGTTAAAATATTTTTAACATAGCCCTGCTTGCCGTTTTTTGGCTTTCAGAGGGTTCCTGAAAACTTTGATTCTTTGATTAATTGGATTAAGTATGGTTCATTCATCTGCACATATTCCTTTACATCCTCCTCAGAGACCACATACGATGGTGTGAAGTGCCCGTGTTGTATATTCAATAATGTGGCTCTTAATTCTCGCAGATGATGATGATACCGTGTCTCTAAAGCTCATAAACAAAGAATGCTACATGTACACGGGACGAGACAAACAGTGGGAGGATTTCTGGAGCACAAACGAGCACGTACCACGTGACACTAAGCGTCGTGCCGCGTTCCACGCGGCGGCGTGTGTTTCCAGAACACCTCCGATTGGATACATTTCATTTCTTGTGCATTAATAAGACAGGTAGGAAACGCCAGAAAGCCAAGGTGGAGTGGTGTAGAGGTTAGCACACCCGACCGGACATTGGGAGGCCCAGAGTTCAAATCCTGGCTCCGCCGTTTTTTGGCTTTCGGCGGGTTCCTGAAAACTTTGATTCTTTGATTAATTAGATTAAGTATGGTTCATTCATCTGCACATATTCGTTTATATCCTCCTCGGAGACCACGTATGATGGTGCGAAGTGCCCGTGTTGTATATTCAATAACGTGGCTCTTGACTCTCGCAGCTGATGATGATACCGTGTCTCTGAAGCTCATAAACAAAGAATACTACATGTACACGAGACGAGACAAATAGTGGGAGGATTTCTGGAGCACAAACGATATATATATATATATATATTTAAGATTAAAGATTTTTTAGCGTCTCTTTAAGAATGCAAGGAAATGCAAGAGACCAACCTGGAGTGCAGAGCGTTGTAGAGCCGGATCCCATCGGCCAAGCCACAGATTTGAATGAGGTCGTCCCGAGTGAGCCTCAAGACATCTGCACCTGCGAACGATGAATAGACTGCTTACGCTTGGGGTTCTCGAAACCCTTCTTTCTCGAGGAGCCTTCGTCTCTCTTGACGAATGGCCACGGAGCCCTTTCCGGTCTTGGCACTGTTGCAACAAAGCAGTGCAGAAGCCTACAGGCCTTGTAGCCTGTAGGCTTCTGCTTACAGGCTACTTCCTTCCTTCCTTAAATGTTCAGCTGGTTCCACCCATAATGTATCATAACCAACTAGCTCAACTCATTCCCATAGTAAGTTATCTTTCTAGCCAGCGAGTGGTTGTCTTTTCTGTGTCTCCTTCCTTAAATGTTCAGCTGGTTCCACCCATAATGTATCATAACCAACTAGCTCAACTCATTCCCGTAGTAGGCCTTGTAAACACTAACAGATGTACCAAACAGTGTTAGGTGCACAGGTGTGCAACGGTGGATGGCTCAAATCTACTAAAATGGTGCTTAAATTGGGAAAACACAACTTGGGGGTAGGAATGGTTATAAAAATCTAGGTGCTCAGGGAACCCAAAGGGTACTCTGGGGAACCCATGGGTTCCAAGAAACCCGGTTTGGGAACCCAGAGAGGGGAACGAGAATTTAATAAGAGCAAAGAACTGACTTTCAGACCATGCCGCGGCCTGCGACTGGTGTTCCTACCAGACTTACACAATTGTAAGTCAACGTTTTCTCACTAGACGACAGTGAAACAAAACTAAAATTGTACAACACTTCCCACCACGTGTATTACAAAAAAAAAGATGACCACATCTCTACGTGGCGAATGATGTTGATTGGGGCGAAGCTCTGGTGGTGCTGATGATACTGATTTTTTCAGCATTTGACCGCAGCGCCCTCTCGTCTATAAACGTTGAGCCAATACATGCAAAGTTTAACGCGATTATATACGCATTTGACCACAGCGCCCTCTCCTGTATAGACGTTGAGCGGCTACATGCAACGTTTCATCCATGACGTCCCCAGCTCTTGAGTTACTACCACATCTCAGAGCCCCCTACTCGTCTTGCGTGTCGTGGCCGAGTGGTTAAGGCAATGGACTACAAAGCCATTGGAGTCTCCCCGCACAGGTTCGAATCCCGTCGACTGCGCAAATATTTTTTCTTTTTGAAGACAGATGGGATGGCAATCGATATGAGCACGGACGCCGGACAAGGCTAGACCCTAAAGAGCTTCGCCCCTCAAAAAACACAGATCAGCAATGTGGCAATAAAAAAGCTCTTTTAAGGTGCCCCAAAGACATGAATTCAGGCAGGAGGGTGAGCTGCATTGCCAAGTTGCTCCCCGGACTGTCTGGATGTGCAATCTTGTGATCAATTAACTTAAAAATACAAGTAAAAAAAAAATAGTTTTGCAAAAAAGATTGAGGAATTGCACAATGTGTGGGTAAGGTTCTCTTCGGGCACCAAAAAGCTCGACCTTGCAAATAAATGAAAGGGATGAGCAATAAGACTACAGACTCCACAAACTCATTAAAAACTAGAGTTTGCAGTAATCAAACCCTAATAAATCAAGCTCTAATAATTCAAAAACTGACGGGACCACATTGCTCCATCCACAAATAATTTAATTGCTTCTTTTTTTTTCTATTGCAACCACAGACCACAGAATCCCATTGGTTACTTACCTTGACATATTACTGAAGAATCCCATTGCTGCCGAAACCATTCACATAACAAACATATTTCCCATTTGCATTGACTTCGTTATAAACAGTTCGACTGCATATCATTTTCTTGCCAGAGCCAGCGATTAAAACGAAATAACCGACACTTAAATGCCAATCCCATGCATTCCACCGGGCAAATTAATGAAAATGACGGCCCTCCCCGCTTTGCTGGGAGCAGCCGGGAGCTCATGTGCATGCGCTCACGCTTCTCTCTGCGCCGCAGGCTAATTGGCTCACTCAGGAGGGATGTGTTACGGTGGCAAGATCATGAACTGGCCAAACTTTCCCACTATACAAATCTAAACCAAACGTTTTTAGAGCACAGCTCTTCGGCGCCCGTTTCCGGCTTAAGCGGTGTCGCCGTCGCCGTCGGCGTAACCGCGCGGTGTGTTATGGGTAAATTTTCCCGAAGGAACCCGAGGTCCTCCCGAAGGACCTCGGGTTCCTTTGGGAGGGCCTCAGGAGAACCTTGGGTTTCTTCGGGAGGACCTCGGGAGGACTTCGAGTTCCTTCGGGAGGACCTCGGGAAGACCCCGGGTTCCTTCGGGAGGACCTCGGGTTCCTTTGAGAGGACCTTGGGTACCTTCGGTGACCTCGGGGAGAGGGGGTCACGGGACCCCCCTCCCCGAGGCCACATGACCCCCCTCCCCGAGGTCACGTGACCCCCCCCTCCAAGGTCAGGTGACCCCCCGAAGGAGATTGGAGAATGAGGGGGGAGGAGGAGGTGCATAGCCTCTCCTCAGTACCCTTCCCTCCTCCTCCTCCTCAAGAGCCGCACTCTAATTCGGCATTTCAGGAAATGTAAACGGCTTTCACTCTTTTCTTTTTTTGTAAGAGGGGGTGGGGTGGGTGGGGTAAGGTGGGGTGGGGGAGTGAAGAACAGTTGGCTATGGAGCTGGACATGGTAAGTGGTCAAGCTGACATCGAGCCAGGAACTTACCTGAAAAGCTAGAGAAGGTGCGAACAAAACCAGCAAAACGGTTCTGGTGAAGCCACTGGGATGTCTCAGATGCAGTGGCGTCTGATGACAGCTGGCAGCTGGGTGACAGATAGTTCTGCTGCGAGGAAGAAAAAAAAAAGGGCGCATCAGCTTGGTTGCTTACTAAGATCCTTCTACACAAAGATAAAAAATAGAACAATAAGGAACGGGGTCCAAATAAGAGTGAAAATAAGATATGGCAATCTCCTAAACTTTTGGAGCAAAAACAACCCGTGCAACAAACAACAACCACATGTAAGCCCACAGCGCAAGACTAACCAGCTGCACGTTTTCTGCAAAATACCGTCAATACAGTCGAATCTCGTTAATTGAAACTCGAGGGGGACCGAAAATTTGTTTGAATAAAGCAAAGTTTGAATTACCGAGAGTTTCCTCCCATATAGATGCATAGATATAGGATAAGACCTGCATGTTAGTTTGGATTATCCGTAAGTTTGAATTATCGAGATTCGACCATACTATGCTGATCATTCAAGCCAGAGCCATGTAGGTCGTACTCAGATTAAAAAGGCAACCTGTGCCGGGAGGCTAACTATTGTCACGGGTGGTGACCAAAAAAACAATAGATGAACAGGAAGAAATAAGCGTTTAATGTGGCGAACTTGTGCCAAAAATAAAAGAGTACAAAAGATAATAACAAAGCGTCGCGGGCGTCGAAATCGGCGAAACCGCAGGATCGAGCGCTGGGGCGAGACTGACTCGACATGGTCGCGGGCGGCCTCTTATCTAGAGTGCGTCGCTATCTCGAAGATTCGGCGAAAGCGGTTCGAGCGTCGTGTGATCGGGGCGAGAATGAACACGCACTTTCTAGAAAACAAAAGCAGGGATAAATGATAGAAGTTACGTGTGCCACATGAATAAACGGGAACTTTCTGGAGGACCGTGACCGAGCGTTGCTTTCTCAGCCTTGCTCGCGGCATTACACCCCCTTTAAAAGTGCATCACCCCGATGCAGTGTAAAACAAAACAAAGCAAATAAAAAGAACGGTAAACTAAAGAGTATTTGGAATACGTAAGGTCCACTGTCCTATCAAGCGTAGTACGGCTTCATGCGCACGACGTGGACGACTTCTGGTCGTGGAGGGCGGCGTGATGAAGTCCGTGTTCCGTCGGGCATCACCTCGTAGTTCAGATCCCCGAGTCGACGAAGCACTTTGTAGGGTCCAAAGTAACGTTTCAGGAGCTTCTCGCTGAGACCGCGGCGGCGAATCGGTGTCCACACCCACACCCTGTCTCCGGGCTGGAAGTGGATGTCCCGACGACGAAGGTTGTAGCGGCCAGTGTCGACACGTTGTTGAGCCTGAATCCGAAGTCTGGCGAGCTGACGGACTTCTTCTGCCCTTTGGGCAACCACCTGGGCGTCGTCGCTTGTGTCGACAGCCGCTTCGTGGGGTAACATAGCGTCCAGCATTGTCGTTACCTTGCGCCCATGCACCAGCTGAAAGGGTGTCATTCCGGTGGTCTCTTGTACGGCCGTGTTGTAGGCAAATGTGACGTACGGCAGCTCCTCGTCCCATGTCTTGTGCTCCACGTCGACGTACATGGAGATCATGTCGGCGATGGTCTTGTTGAGTCTCTCCGTTAGCCCGTTGGTCTGCGGGTGGTACGCCGTGGTGCGGCGATGGCTGGTGTGGCTGAGACGAAGGACTTCTTGCGTCAGCTGGGCCATGAATGATGATCCACGGTCTGAGATCAGGACTTCGGGAGCGCCGTGCCGGAGGACGATGGATTCAATGAAAAACTTGGCAACTTCCACAGCAGTTCCGGAAGGAAGGGCTTTCGTTTCGGCATACCGCGTGAGATAATCAGTGGCGACGATGATCCAGCGATTTCCCGACGTCGACGGCGGAAAAGGGCCAAGTAGATCCATTCCGATCTGCTGGAAGGGTGCTGTTGGCGGAGGAATTGACTGCAAGAGTGCCGGCCTCGTCGGAGGTTTCTTTCGTCGCTGGCATTCATGACATGATCGCGTGTACAGGTGGGCGGTTTTGGGGAGTTTGGGCCAGTAATACTTTTCACGAATATGTGCCAGGGTCCGGCTGTAACCAAGGTGTCCGGACGTCGGGTCGTCGTGGCAGGCTTGAAAGATCTCCTCCCGAAGGTCGGTCGGGATTACTAGCAGCCATGGCGAGTTGTTGTTCCCGAAGTTCTCTTTGTAGAGTACACCTTGTCTAATGGCGAAGGTCGGCAGCGCTCGTGAAAAAACACGTGGCAAGGCACTCCCGCGCCCTTCCAGGTGCTCTATTAGTGCGCGCAGCTCAGGATCGTCTCGTTGACGCCGGGCCATGTCGTCGATGTTCACTGCGCCCAGAAAACACTCGTCGTCGCTGCTGCCGGAAGGTGTTGCGACGGGAGCTCTGGACAGGCAGTCGGCGTCGCTGTGCTTGCGGCCTGACTTGTAGACGACGGTCATGTTGAACTCTTGTAGTCGGAGACTCCACCGCGCGAGGCGTCCTGACGGGTCCTTGAGGTTCGCAAGCCAGCAGAGCGAGTGGTGGTCCGTGACTACCCGGAACGGGCTCCCGTATAAGTACGGACGAAACTTCGTGATTGCCCAGACGACCGCAAGGCATTCTTTCTCAGTCGTGGAGTAATTTCTCTCCGCCTTGGTCAATGTCCGACTTGCGTAGGCAATGACTCGCTCGGTGCCTTCTTGTACTTGAACCAAAACCGCGCCAAGCCCTGCGTTACTTGCGTCTGTGTGAATCTCGGTTTCCGCATCCTGGTCGAAATGTTCAAGAACAGGAGGAGTCTGCAGTCGTCGCTTCAGCTCGTCAAATGCCTGCTGCTGTTCATCGGCCCATTCGAACTTCTCGGCGTCCTTCGTGAGGTGTGTGAGCGGTGCGGAAATTCTTGCGAAATCTCGAACGAAGCGCCGATAGTAGGCACATAGCCCAAGGAACCTTCGGACGGCCTTCTTGTCTCTTGGCGCTGGAAATGCTGCGACGGCACGAGTCTTCTCGGGGTCTGGGCGGACACCTTCGTTACTAACCACGTGGCCGAGGAACTTCAGTTCGTCATAAGCGAACCGACACTTTGACGGCTTCAGGGTGAGTCCGGCGGTCCGTATGGCTTGAAGAACTGCTCGGAGTCGTCGCAAGTGCTCGTCGAAGTCGCTGGAAAACACGACGACGTCGTCGAGGTAGACGAGACAGCTCTGCCACTTCAGTCCTGCCAGTACGGTGTCCATGACACGTTGGAAATTTGCTGGCGCCGTGCACAGTCCGAAGGGCATCACTTTGAACTCGTACAGTCCATCCGGCGTGACGAAGGCTGTCTTTTCTTGGTCCCTTTCGTCGACTTCGATCTGCCAGTAGCCGCTCTTCAGGTCCATCGATGAGAAATATCGAGAGTGGCGCAGCCGGTCTAGAGTGTCGTCGATGCGGGGGAGTGGGTAGACGTCTTTCTTCGTCACCGTGTTCAGCTGCCGGTAGTCTACACAGAACCTAAGCGTCCCGTCTTTCTTCTTAACCAGTACGACTGGAGAGGCCCATGGACTGCTTGAAGGTTGAATTATGTCGTCGTTCAGCATTTCTTGAACTTGCTCCTGGATCGCCTGCCTTTCTTTAACGGAGACTCTGTATGGCGATCGATGCACAGGGCGCGCGTCGTCCTCGGTAACGATGCGGTGCTTCGCAACGGTGGTTTGGCGCACCTTCGACGACGTGGCAAAGCAGTCGCGGTATTCGGCGAGAAGGTTAATCAACTGTCGTCGTTTCGGGCCCGGGAGTTTAGGGTCAATGTCGAGCTGCGCTGGCGACGCACTGTCTTGCTGAGGTGGCGAGAATTCGTCAGTAATAGCGGCGACAGCGGCGGAGTTTTGGAGTTCCTCGACCTGGCCCACGGCTGCACCTTTTGTGAGGTGTTGCGCTTCATTTCGGAAGTTCGTGACGAGGACCACAGTGCGGCCATCCTGAAGTTCAGCAACTCCTCTTGCGACGCCTATTCCTCTTCCCAGAAGCAACTGGAGGCTTCCTTCGAGCAGAACTTCGCTGCAGAAATCTTCAGTGATACCGACGGGTACGAAAACACTCGACCGCGGCGGTAAGTTCACGTGGCTGGCGAGGACTCGGACCGCAGATGACGTCGCTTTGGGTTCCTCTGGTGGTGAAACAGGCTTTCGCAGCGTCAACCGGTTTGCTCCGAGGTCGATGACGGCGCCATACTCGCAGAGGAAGTCCATTCCGAGGATAACGTCCCTCGAACAGTCTTGCAGAACGACGAACTTTACAGGGCACGTCTCACCGTGGATCTCGACGCGAGCGGTGCATCGCCCGACTGGTGTGATTAGGCGCCCACCGGCGGTTCGTATTTGAGGTCCATCCCACGGCGTCGTGACTTTTCGAAGGCGGCGGGAGAGCCTCCCACTCAAAACTGAGTAGTCTGCTCCGGTGTCCACGAGTGCCGATGCGTCGTGGCCGTCGATGATGACGTTTAGGTTGTTGGACACCGTTTCAGGAGCGTCGTTTCGGTCTCCGGTAGCGTTCGAGTGGGGGCCCTCCGACGTTCGTGGAGGATGTTGGCGTCGGTCGTCTTCGGCAACTCCACCTCCAGAGGTTGCCGCGCCTAGTTTCCCCGGCGTGGAGCGAGGGGCGACAGGCTTTCACGTCGGGGTCGGTGCATCGGCGAAGCTGGACGTCGTGGTGAAGGCGATCGGAACTCTCGGCGGGACGCAGGCTCGGGGGACTGGGGTCGTCGCAAGTACTCGTCGATCTCCCGAGGGCGTTCACCATACCTGGGACGCGGGTCGCTTGGGTGGAATCCGCGCAGCCCGAGTCGTCGGTATGGGCATCGGCGGTACACATGGTCAGCTTCCTTGCAGTGGTAACACAGCGGGCGTCGGTCGGCCGTCCTCCAGACGTCTGTCTTCCTCGGCGCAGGTCGGTCTGGGTGAACGTGCGCCTGATCTTCCTGTCATCGGGGATACTGCGGCGTTGGGGCGTCTCTTCGGGGTGGCGCCGCGGCTTGGCGGGGAGCTTGCGGCGGTCGTCGGGCTATGGCAGCGTAGCTCAACGTCGGTTCCTGCGGTGCCACCGTGGTGACGGGAACCTCTGGTTGGAGCGCCCGTTGTACTTCCTCGCGCACAGCCTCGGCAATGGAAAGTGTCGCTGGACGACTTGCGGCTGGCAGCAACTGGCGGAGTTCCTCCCGGACGACCTCCCGGATAATTTCGCGGATATCCGTACCAGGAGCGTGCTCGCCGCCAAGCAGCGCGGTTGCAGCGACACTTGGATGTCGCTGGTAGTGGGAAGCGCGCGCTTGGAGGGCGCGCTCGATGTTTGTCGCCTCGGTGACGAAGGCTTCGACGGTGCCCGGCGGGTTGCGCACGAGGCCTCCAAAGATGTCGTCTCTCACCCCGCGCATGAGGACCCGCAGCTTCTTGTCGTCTGCGGCTCGTGCGTCGGCACGGGCGCTCAGGCGGAGGACATCTTCTATGAAGCTTGTGATGCTTTCGCCGGGGCCCTGCGTTCGAATTCGGAGGAGATCTTCTGCCTTCTCCCGTCGGTGTAGGGTGGCGAACGTCCGCTGCAACTCGGCCACACAGATGTCCCACGACGTAAGCGAAGCCTCGTGATTCTCGAACCAATGCCTCGCAGTACCCTCCAGCGAAAAGTAGAGGTTCTGGAGGCACTGCTCCGCAGTCCATCCGTTGTGCCGCGCCACACGCTTGTAGTGCTTGATCCAGTCTTCGACATCCTCGTGGATCTCGCCGTGGAAGGGAGTCGGAGTACGGGGAGCGGCGGGCAGGTAGATGACGGCAGGAGCGGCGGGGGTCGGCGACTGGTCGGCCATCGTCGGCTTCGTTGGCTGCTTGGTCGTGGGCGGCAGAAGTCCGAATTCCGGGTGTAGGCCTTGGGTGCGACGACTGAACCGGATCTCGGTAGTGCCTTCGTCGGTTCTTCGTGGGCTTGGCGTCGGACTTGCACTGCGAACCCTCGGAAAGGAACGCTGCACGGGCATGCGTTACCCAGCACCTCCACCAATATGTCACGGGTGGTGACCAAAAAAACAATAGATGAACAGGAAGAAATAAACGTTTAATGTGGCGAACTTGTGCCAAAAATAAAAGAGTACAAAAGATAATAACAAAGCGTCGCGGGCGTCGAAATCGGCGAAACCGCAGGATCGAGCGCTGGGGCGAGACTGACTCGACATGGTCGCGGGCGGCCTCTTATCTAGAGTGCGTCGCTATCTCGAAGATTCGGCGAAAGCGGTTCGAGCGTCGCGTGATCGGGGCGAGAATGAACACGCACTTTCTAGAAAACAAAAGCAGGGATAAATGATAGAAGTTACGTGTGGCACATGAATAAACGGGTACTTTCTGGAGGACCGTGACCGAGCGTTGCTTTCTCAGCCTTGCTCGCGGCACTATGATCATGTGCTCTGAACCTCGGCACAGACGCTATCCAAGCCTCAACGTTGTCGGTGCTTCGTCATTTACTGGACCCCTTCCGTGTGTTGCAATGATTGGCGTCTATGAGCTCTGTGGGAAAGTCAAGGCCTGTTCACACACTTGCATTTCTATGACCGACCGAGACAAGACCGAGTTTTAAGCCTCTTGTGACAGCTTACGACCGGCTGCATTGCTGCGCAGCCAGTCGTAAGCTGTCACAAGAGGAATCCGGACTTGTCTCAGTCGGTCATGGTCAAATGCAAATGTGTGAACGGACCTTTAATATGCAGGCTCTGTTCAATAAAGGTTCATGCATTTTCAAGTAATTATGGTAATTATTCTCAAAACCATCAATTACCATTCGGGTCTTTTGAACACAAGTTACTAGCTCTTGCTATGTTTTATCCAACCCTCCTGACCTTTTTCAGGCTGACTAAATTCCCTGACAATGTCATGTGTTCACTGATGATAGACAATATCAGTCCCTGCATCTAATGAAGAAAATAAGAGACTGAATCAAAAGGTTAAATGTTCCTTCCATTACAGCTCAAAACCCGAATGTTCGACAGATGTCATTTTGCTTCCACTGATCCCCATAGTCGCAACTGCAAAGTGATGCATGCTGCTATTGATTATGGCAGTGATTTACAGACAACCCCGGTAATGTGCGCGGCCCACTTTGCACAATTGAGCATAGGCAAGTATCATAAAAAGTCAAAGGACTACCTTCTCTCCCCTCTCATTTTGATTGTTTGCTTCTGAAAGAGAACACATGCCACAATCGGTAATCTCTCTTACCAGAAAAGAATGTTATCCAGTAAATGCTATAGCTAGCTTTTACTCAGCTAAAACCCATTTGCCACTCTGAGTAGGCAGTACAGGCATGTCTCGTCAATTCAAAGCTCGTTAATATACAGTGATGTCTCACTAATATGTCCATATTAATGAGACCTCACTGTAGTATCATTTACTCACTCCCTTTTTTGTGAGTGGAGTGTAAGGAGGGCACTGTATGCAACCAGATGTTTCTGTGCCTTTGACCCCGTACGCCTGAAAAATGGCTAGCATTTCGTGAGCTCACCGGAGAAGAGAGGGATGCATCGGACACCTCTAGCACGTCGCTTGTGGAACTCCCTGGTGTCCCTGGGTTCCTGAAAGAAGAAAGAAAGAGATATTCCTGCAACAGCAGGCTGGCTCTCAGTTGCTGTATGCAGTTGCATAACCCAGCCATTCTCCTTTTTGGTTTCTCCGCAATGCTTCTTCGTCAGCATTCACAAACCACCGGACAACTTGGGAAAGTACACAGTCCCGCGGTATATGTGTCTAAAATGCACAGCTAATGTTAGAGCATTTGATTACCCTGCTTACCCGAACATGGGTCAAACCTATGCCACACAGGACACCGAGAGCCAATCATTGTGATTTCGAGCATGCGAATATCACGCACAGTGTCCCAGAACAGGCCCCTTTTTTTTTTACAAAATTTTAGAAAGTCAACCATTGGCTTCCGAGTGCTTAATGGGGAAAGCAGAAGCACGGGTGTTGTTCATGAAAAGGCTGAACTATAATTGGATAATGCAGAAGAATGTAAAGTGACCACAAACCAGACATAGCCAGGTGTCAAAAGTGCTAATCTTACTACAGTGAAAGCTTGTTAATTCACACCTCAATAAACCGAATGTTTAGATAATTTGCACCAACATCATGGTCCGACCACGCTGCAGAAGTTCATGTATAAAATAACCACACTAACCCTCTCACACTTTGGCTCTGCCACTGACGATCCGAACTATGTGCCACTATAAGTGACTGCATTGGTAGTGCCACTTACAACTAGACGGTGCCACCTGCCACCCGACTCAAAGAGTTCCATGTGCTGCCATATCTGTCCATCGTTTAGAGCTGCGTCTTTTTGCGCTTCCATCGGTTCAGCCATTTAGCTTTGACCGTTCTTTGCTCCCTTTGCTCGCTCTTTGTGATCCGAGTCCAAGAGCCAAGCCATGATACGGACAGTCCTAGGTTACATGCTGTGCTACATTGCCATTTCGTGATGTTGTTATCGGTCATGAAGTTGACACTAGCGGTTTTTAAATGTGTGTTTGTGGCACGAGCACTTGCACTAGACAAGCATGTTTTAAAGCAAGGGTCTCCAAGCTTTTTGACTAAGGGGCCACATTGGGAACCTGTCACAGTCACAAGGCTCGAAAAATAAATAAGATTGCATAAATGAGAAAATACTAAATAAATAAGCCTAAATAAGCGTTTGAATATAAAAAATAAACTAGAGCAATACACATAAAAATATGCAAGGTGGATGAATACCGTATAAACTTGTGTAAGGGCCGCACTATTTTTTTCCCGATTTGAGGGCAAATTTTGAAAATGCAACCCACACACGAATAAAAAAAAAAAAATATGTATCCACATTTTGAAATGAACGTACATGAGCGTGCTCAGCTGCACTGGTCGAAAACGCCTTCACTCCGGAATCCGGACTGAATCGTAAGTCGGATTTAATTAGTTTACATACTGCGCAATACAAATCTTTTTTTTTTGTACTTGATAGCATGCGCAGCAACTTTCGACTTGAATCCCGTATGACTGTTGAAGTGGTACTTGCCCATAGCTCTGAATATGCAAAAAGGCGGACAAATCGCGACGCTTTGACATGAATCGAAGAACAAAAGAAAACCTCCCCAGAGCATACAGTGGCGTTCAGAAACCCGAGTGCATGCGCGAGCCGAGCCTGCTGAACCCCCATTCCTCGCGCTTGCCATGGAAGCTGACATATCCTTTATCTTTTCTCAATGTCTTCTGGCTGCAACACAGCCGCATCCCGACGGTGCGGCCGACCACGATCGAGGTCGGCAGCCATTGTGCCATACCGTGATACGGATGAGTGGAGAGCAAATATCGGGGATGCGGAGACGTGCTGCTACTTGCTCAGGCGGTGGCTAGCGCCACCTAGTGATATATATTCATAGAAACTTTCATGCATTACAGTCGGCGCGCCTCAAAAACAAGGGGGTGCGGCGCATACACGAATAATTTCTCTAATTTTTTTTTTGCAATATTTTGTCTTAAATACGGGTTGGTGCGGCCCTTACACGAGATTATACGGTACATAGACTATTTTTAAATGCTATATGTTACTCATTATGACATTACAAAATAATTATAACCCAGACAACTCACCTGGCATAAATCAAAGCACATAGAAACTCTGGCATTTTAACACAGGGCAGAAGACTAATCTCAATGCTAGATCTGATGATGATAATATGCAAGAGTTATGACACAGATCACAGTTCAGTGGTTCTCAACTATTGTTGTTTAGCGGACCCCAGGCGGATTGGCGGAGATGATGGAGGACCCCGTTCGTGGTGAGGAGAAGGGTAAGGTGAAGGGTACTAATTATGATAGTAATTTAATAAATGGATATAACTAAGGGCTAGTGTGAAGTAGACTTGTCTTACTAACATACATACGAGAACTCAATTGAAAATTGGAATGTTTCCTCTCAACCTTGGAAAATACAACTTTTATTGTCAGGCTTGACTGATGAGGCTGGGCTTCGCGGACCCCTTTGTGGACCACAAGGGGTCCATTTTAGAACCACTGTCAGAGCTAAACAGACATGAAACAGAGAACTACGATTAGTAATGCTAGTGACGACGATAAACAGTATGGCAAGAGAACCTGCATTTTGATGCAATTTTCTTTCATCATTTTTTAAATCTTTGCTTAAGCTTTTGAATCGCGCTGCGACGGCGCTTTTTTGAAGATTTCTTTTACACACGCTTCTTCGTGCGTTTGCAGTTGTGGGCCGTGCGCCGGGCGTCACTGGAAAGACCGCTGCCATTTGCGGGCTGAACTGAGCGCCTCCGCAAGCTGGATCTGGCCCGTGGGCCGGGGTTTGGAGACCCCTGTTTTAAAGCTAGGTGTACGGGCCAGCTCGCAGCTGTCGCCTTTCATGCCCCATCAACTCAAAATCCCTGAAATCACGTAGCAGTGACAATTATGAAACATTTCCATCAAAAAGAGGAACAAAAAATGGTACAGCTTAGTATGGCCATCTTCGTTGCGGTTAACAAAGATGTTCCACGTCGAGCGCCTCACTCTCCGCTGCATTCAGATACAGTGCCTGACGACCATCACTTTCCAAAAAAATTAAGCAGGTCATAACAGGTTCTCTTGATAAATAAAAGATGGCAGCTCTTAGCATCCCCAGGCTTACCCAGCACCAAACATGGCCTTTTTTGTATGACTTTTATTTCTTCCAACTTCGTTTAATTTAAGCCCTTTTTAGCACCCCCTCGAAATTAAAATTAACAAGCTTTTATGGTAATACTGTAAAGAGCCTCATTGTATCCATACTCTACCAGTACCCTACAAAAACTGTAAACACAAACTCCTATTCCTAGGGGAATGTCCCACAGGGGAAACGCTTGCGTAGCAAGAGCAGAAGAAAAACTATGACACCATGCTCAACGTTTTCCGGTACGCCCAAGAACAAGAGGTGTCGCAGGACAAGCCAGGCTCGTCTCTGGAGGTTAAAAGCGTAACACTCTGGTTAAGTCATTTGGTAATGCAAGAACCCCAATTTAACAACAAAGACCATCCCAAATCTAAGGCCACAAACTAAACTCCTTCTTTCTTCAGATAGCTACAAAACTCTTTTCCTATAAAGATGGAGTTGAAGCTGCGTGGCAACAATGGGAGCCTCCAGACGCAATGAAATGAAACACAGAATGCAAGACAAGGACTCCTGGTTGCCTCCTCTTCGAGCTTTCCCGATGGAAACAGGTTACCGTATTTTTGCGATTCTAAGCACCCCCCCCACCCTCCACACTTTCAAACATAAACACCTGAAAAAAAGTTTGCATGCGAATGTAAGCATCCCCCTCCCAACAAGAAATTTGAGATCGGAGACGCCGGTATCGCCAAGCGCCGGAGTCGCGAACGGCCGCTGGCGCTTGGTTTTAACGACTGTTAATAGATAGCAGCACGTACCACCCTTTCCCACTTTCGCATCCTATCTGCCAGAAGCTACCGGTGGACTTCGAGGACAAGCTTGTCAAGTTCCAACATTATGTGATGAAACTGCGTCGCGAATCTCACTACGGACTCGGGCAGATCGGCATACCGATGAGACCCCTGTGAACATCGACATGCCAAGGATGTGCACCGTGAACAAAGTAGGCGCCCGAGAAGTAAAAGTGCGTACGACTGGCTATGAGAAGCAAAGGGTGACCGTAAAACTGTGCATCACAGCCGATGGTCGGAAACTTGCGCCCTACATCATCCTCAAAAGACTAGTCGCGAGGGCGATTAGTCGATTGTGGTGCAAACTGATGGCAAGCGGGCTACTCTCATGTCTTTATTTATTTCCTTTAGAATATTTATTCTTTCATTTTGATTATAATAAATTCATATTTCTTGTGCAAATTTCGTATTTTCGGGGCATGTTTCGAATCTAAGTCGTCCATCATGAGTGCGAAGAGAACTTCATACACGATGAAAATCAAGAGAACGGTTATTTCTTACGCGGAAGACAATGGAAATCACCGTGCTGCTGAACAGTTCGGAGTGCGGCGTTCCGTGCAAGCCGAGGCTGGGTGGAGCGGATGATGAAGAGGAAAGGTTTCTCTTTGAGACGCCACACCATTATCTGCCAGAAGCTACCAGTGGACATCGTGGGTGTGAAAAACATTGCGGGTGTGAAAAAAAGGGGTGCTTAGAATCGAGTAAATACGGTAGTTAGATAATAATGATTCAGGAGAAGTCTCCAAGATGGAGGAAACTTATGCAAGAATGAACTGACTTCCACCTGAGATAGAATGCAGCTCATGTCCTGTAGGCGACTGGTTTGCCACCGAAAACAATTCCTAATCCCGAGCGAGCCAAGGACCACCACGAGACTGGCAGAAAGCTCTATTACTGAGTCAAGCAAGAGTTACCTGTCAGCAGAGCAAATTAATGTTAATGGTTGCTACCAGTCTTAGTCGTACGCACGACTAGGCCGGGCGTCCAATATTGAATAATGAAATGGTAATGATTCAGGGCATGGGTTCTCAAACTGGGTTACTGGGAACCCCGGGGGTTCCCCGGTGTACCCTTGCGGGTACTTTGAACTCCCAGTTTTCCTTGACCATCCCTCCGTTTAAGTAAAATGTATTTCCAGTTTAAGTACTTTCAGAAAATCTGAGACGCTCGCTTGTGCATATCTATTGGCATTCTCCATTGTGTGCATTTGCATTCTTGCTTACAGTGTCCGTAAACTTCTGCACTACTTTATTGCGTCAACGCGGAGCCTGGGAAGGGTTCCGCGAGAAAGACGAGGGTTCCTCAAGATAGAAGAGTATGAAAACCCCCGATTTAGGGGAAGTTCCCAAAGTGGAGGAGATCTATGAGAGAACACACAGGTTGGAGGGAACTTACTGGTCGGGCATGGGCAGGGGGATAGGCGGGAAAGAGTCCACGCTCGTCCCGGGGGAGTAGCTGCTGCTGCCAGGCCGTGTCTGGGGCTGCTGCTGCTGCTGCGGCTGCTGGTCGGGGGGCGAGCACGACACTACCGAGGAGGGCAGGCTGGTGGGCGCCTTGTGCGGTGGTGGCGGTGTTGGGGCCACGGCGGGCACGGCTGGGGAGCCTGCTGCGCCCATGGCCACTGCCGACGGGCTGCTGCCACCGCCGCCACCACTTCCGCCGGCGCCCAGGGGTGGACTGGCCGGGGCAAACGCCGGCTCTGACAAACACTGCTACAAAAGAAACAACGAAAGGTTGGCCTGTTGATTTCTATGACTCTGGCTGCACTGTTGATGCGCCGAGAACTATACTTCGCTACTTGGAAATGTGTTGGCAATATAGGTATTTATTGCAGAAAGTTGGAAAGAACTTTCATTTTCGGCAAATCAAAAGTGCTAAGCAGATGCTCTCAATAGTGAAGGGTAAACTTTTCAGGAAAGATCTTCGCCACATCAATATCTTCACAATATGTCATCACCTTCAACCCCTATACCAGTGCCATAAACATACTTCAACTTTCGGTCACTTTGTCCTTATCGCCAGTCTACCGGCATTTATTATAGAAAGGTTCCGCAGCAGTGGGCCACATGGCATATATAGCAGGGCCTCACTCGTACGTTATTGAATAATACATTTTCCTAGGTGTTACGTTCACAAATGTTGATCCTGCTGAACACCCACAGGGGTACGAGTATTCATTTTTCGTTTGTTGCGTTTGCCTTTCTGGCTGTGACACTCAAAAACTGCCATCTGAAGAGCCACGGCAGCCACCTTCATTCTCCCTCTTTTTTGCCTCTTTGTCTCTCTGCACCGTGCTTCTTGAATTGTTCTTGCCCGAGCAGGCATGACCTTGAACTAAGCTTGAAGGGACTGAGGTCCCCTAACAGCCTGTTCGATTTTCAGCCTCATTCTTGGATGCACATGAGCTCTCCTGCCACGCTCGGTGGCTTACTTCTCTCAGTTGGACTACCGTAATATCCCGAGTCATCGCCCATCCCCGAGCCATCGCCCACCCCATTTTTGGGGCCAATATCGATTTCCGTAAAAACACCGAGTCATCGCCCACCCCTTCAAATACCCCAGCGCGGACTCTGCGATCCGCGAACACTCATCCTACCCGAATGACGCGGCCGCGGACCTTACAGTTGGAGGACGTCCGTGACAAAGTAAAACGAAGGAGGGAAAGACACTTCTTTTTGTTTACGCATTTCCCCAAAGTTGTCGTGTATCCGCGCGAAAAGAAAACGATGGAGATAACAAAATAAGAGTTTGTTAATGTAACCGCGGAGTGTTAGGTCAAAGTCTGTCTCCGCCGAAGTAAGGTCACCGCGAACCCTCTCCTTCTTCCCGCCCGTCGGGACCGGGGTTGTGCAATATTTTAGGCAAAGCCAACGCGTAAATAAAGCTTTGCTGGAACGCCCTACACAGACGTTTGCAGAGCGTCCCAACCGTGCATTGATAGCCCGCCGTGCACGGACGCACGTATGTATGCACCAAACAAGAAAGTTGCGCAAGAGCTTGCAATTGACAAGGCGCCCGACTTGGCCCGAGGCCAAAGTATTTGCCAACGCGACCGCAGGCTTTCCCGCTTTCCCAGCATTGCTCTTGGTCGCTTCTTTGGTCCGCTCGCTCGCTCGCTCGTTGCGCCTGGTCGGTTTTTCTATTTTCTTGTAGACTTTTCTTTTTTTTTTTTTTTTACTAACTAGGAGAACATAATGGTGACATTCTGTCACGAAACAAACGTTCGCGCTATATGCAGATCGGCGGTGTTTCTAGCGCGTATGCAAGCAACGGACTTCGCTATAGTAAAATATTTTTTCGTGAGCATTTTTTTCTATAAAACAACGAAACTAAATCGAGTTGTGAGTTTGATGTATCTCTTGTGCATCAGCGCTAGATACGCAGAGAAAAAGAGGCGGTTTTTTCCGCTTTTTTTCAAGTGTTTGTGCTCACCCACCGAGACATGGCCCACCCCACTTTTTTAATGAATTTCAGGTGGTAGGAGGGTGGGCGATGACTCGGGATATTACGGTAGTTTCATCTTGCGTGGAGTTTGGCGTTAACTATTGTGCACCACACCATCATGAGTGGCACGCTCAAGATGGGCACACGTCAAGTTTCACAGCTTTGCACTAGTTTTCTTAGGAGCAGCAGCTGACGTGAGGCAGTATCTCAGTTAGCTCAATCAGCTCAGACATTTGCTCACTTTTATAGTCCAAATTCCAACAACATGAAATGATGGGGCCAATCGCTCGTTGTGAATGTCAGCAATTATGCCAATCGGCACATTAAAAGAAAACAAAAAAGAAAACAAAGAGACCTCTTTTAAAGATTAAAAGAAACTTACCTCGGTAAAAACAGTGCAGTCGTATGATGGTTGATGTTTCTCCTGCAAGTCAAAAAACAACATGTTGTGGAGCCCAATGCAAACACTACTCTTCTAAACCTCTAGTAGGATGAAGACAGTTCTAGTCTACAGGCAATGCAAGGCTCTAGCCCAAACAGGTCAAGGTATAAGTATAGTTTTATATCCATGTATCACATATCAATCAGTGGGTATTATTTTTGTTTCAATAACTTTTGCCGGGAAGAAACAGGATTTTTTTTTTGTCTGACTACATCAGTATTCAGATGTATTCCACAGATGTTTTCTGGAAGGGGAAAAGCAAGCAGAATTAGGATGAACAGTATTGAACTGCATGTTGTAAAAAGCTGAGAAACTAAGTAGACATCCCGTCTCTTACTTCCCCAAATATCAAAATAATATTTTATTAATCATACGACAGCTAATCAGCCTCACTCATTATGTAGTTCTTATACAGCACCAACCGTGAAGCCTTTTTTAGTTCCATGTACAGGGAGGCACAAGGTGAACTTTCCCAAGCTTTAGGTAGTTATTATAATGAATATCTTGTTATAATCTATTATAGTGTTGTGCAAAGATCGCAATTTCGAAAAGTAGTTTAGAGCAGTGCACTATTCAATATTCACTTCAAAATTAACTGCGATATTTACGTTCTTTTGAGTATTGATCACGGCAGGTTAGCTCTGTTGAGCGTGCTTCTTAGCGACCACAGTACACGGAGGGAAAGACACCCACAAAGCTTGCTTCTCCACAGTGCACCGGTGCTTGGAAAGAAGCGCACTCAACAGGGCTAACCAGCCGCATTCAACACTTCGAAAGGTACAAATATTGCAAAACATTGTAGCAGTGCGATTAGAAAAAAAAAACGCTATTTCCAAAGAAGATTCTGGTGCATGAGTATACCTGATGTGTTTAGAAAGAAACAGAAACTTCATGAATGTTGATATCTACATTGCCATAAAATTTTCAAAATTGAACTGGCATGCATACCTTAAAATCCCGTAAGATGCCCCCCCACCCTCCCCCTTTTTATTTTTTTGCTTGATTTGCTATATTTTTTTAAACACCGAAAGATAGCTTACGCCTAGTAACAGTAGTGTTGGGATCAATGATGGCCTCGGCGTAAATGCGGCTAGTACGCTATGGCGGGATACAAGCGAATGTTGCTGACTGAGAAGTACAGTCATCTCTGCTTTGTTGCCCCTTGCCACCATAACAAGCTTGTAACAGGCACAACCTAAAAAGAGCAATTTTTTTCAACTTTTCTTGATTGCACATTAAAAGGTAGCCACAGCATATTTTCAGCCGATTTGCTCTTCATGTTGGGTGGGCTATCTCTCGGGATTTTGGGGTACTTAAGTTTATGGCAGAGATGCCCTCACAACCTGTGCTAATCATACATGATTAAAGAAAAGATAATTGCATATAGCAAGAATATTTATAAATCCCCTCGATTAGGTATAGCTGGGCACCTCTATAGGTTTCATTTTACGTCAAACGTGTTGTTCACTTGCCATCTTAGAGTAGAAATTGAAGTTTCAGAGGCCACAGTCAATAGATTTAGTTAGATTAAAATGAACTCATCTTAGAAATGGACAAGTGAAAGCTTGGCAACAACTCTCAGGAGTTCAGCTGGGTTTTCGCATAAGCATGTTGCTGTGGTGAAAGGCTTAGAGAAATTATTGAATATTCGATTAGAAAATATTTGGTCAAAACCACTATGCACTTCGAATTTGCTTCGGACTCAAAATCCACTATTCGCACATGCTTAGAATTTAGGAAACAAGAAACTCTGTCATATGCCGTGGTTCAAACCCTGTACAGGAAACATCAAACGTATTAGTGCAACTCCCTGAACACAGTCAATTGTACTCACCTGCTCAGACTGAGGCCGCTTCATCATTTTTTCCCGGTCGGTCTTGTGCTTCCTGTCTGCCCCCTTTGGCTGCGCAGAAGCATAAAAACAATTCCCAGCGAATGTGATGAGACATAAACAGCACAGGATGCCTGAGGCACGATTAGTGTCATCATCTCTCACAAAAAAAGAAGTGCATGCTCATGGCCTCCACAAAACTGAAACCCCCTATATGACAACAGCACACCTGAGCCAGTTAGGCGGAAAACCATCTTTTAGCAGACAACACTGGCAGCACCACGTGTCACGTAGCCAATAAAATGGCGCAAAATAAAGCACCACTGTCACAGTTTTTAACTGTCACAGTTAAAAAAAAGAATAATCAAGCGCGCAGTTGTTAGAACCTTTTTTCGAAACGTTAAAGTATCCACATGCGTCTCTCCTTCGGGCGTCGCTATTGCCGGAACCGTGCGACCCGCCGGGACCTCACCTTGAACACTTTGACCTGGCAGGAGGCCGAGTGAAGCTTCTGGGGTGGGCCAGGCTCCCCGTGAGAGTAGGTCTCGATGACAATGCGGAAGGGTACCCCCTTCTCCCCCCCGTGCTTCTTCGGTGTGAACTCTGTGCTGATGCAGTTCAGCTGGAAACACAACGGCATCGTCCAACGGTCAGCCTCATTTCGGCTGCATGCAGAAAGTGCAGCTCGGCAAGCCAAAACCCTCCCTCTTTTAAGACACGTCTAGTCATTCAGAGAATGAGAACAACAGGAAGGTGCTTCGAACGCCCCGCAACAAGCGTGAGCTCCCTACTTTTGAAGCGTCCCATCACTGACTGTAAGCTTCGAGTGCAAGTTGAAGCTTACATTCCTTTCTCGTAGCGAAACGCAGGAAAACGTTAAGGTTGTCCGACGACACGGGGCCGACGACGAGAGAGGCAAAAGAAATATTTGCTGTCTGTCTATCTAAGCTTGGCGCCACTTTTGAGGTTAATCTGTTACCGGCGGGACCAAACTTATTCTCGGCATTTCGAGGTTCTGATGGTTTGTCAGTTGGAACACAGGGAAGAACGAGGACATTTGTTTTCTAGTTCAAGAATGCCTCAATTACTTGGACCGGAGACAATTTATTTTGTGAGAAAGTTATCTCCGACATGGCGGCAAACGTCATAGATACATCTGACTATCTCCAAAGGCCCGCGAGAATTCCCGACTCTCACACCGCTCCCCAAACCGTGCACGTACGAGTGTATTTTCCGGCAAAGAACTTACTGAGAGTTACAACTAAGCATCATTAAGAGCGCATTTATGAAAGTACATTAGATTCAAAACACTAGGAACCCTCAATAAGAGACCTAAATTTGGTGAATACAAGGACCGTGTAAAGTAACAACAGGGCATCGACATACCCGAACGAAGACCCCCGTTTCCTTGGTGGGGTCCCAGAGAAACTCGCAGAAGTGGACTTTGCTCGGGGCATTAACCACTTCGTACACGCCGTACGACAGGGGCACGTCTGGAACAGAGGGAAAACGCCCCAGAAATCGTAAGAACACTGTCCTCATTATTTATTTGAAAAGAATAAAAGACAACTCCGACACAAAGCACTACCAGTGATGCTACTGCAAAGTTGTGATTTGCAGCAATTTTTGGAGCACCTAAAAACAAATTCTAGAGCACTTTGGAGCACCTAAACATGGATCTTGGAGCACTTTGGAGCTCATAAACACCAAATTCGAAGCAATTTTGAGCACCTAGATATCACTTTTCAAAGTACTTTTGAGCATGTAGTTATTAAGTTATTTGCTATAAATATTAAGAAAACTATCAACTGCATAATTAGAAGTGCTATACGATGTGTGTGCACCGCTATAAATCTGCGTGGTGAATTTTTTACTTTCTTTTTATTTAGGGAAATTGTGCAAATACGTTGCTTGTAGGATATGGTCCACAAAAGGATGGACAAGTTTGAGAACGCTTGAGAAGCACATCCACGAGCTGGTGGCTCCCGCCCTATACTCCTCCATGGTGCACTTTGTGATGCAGAAAGCGAGTTGACCAAACCAAACCGAGAAAAGAAACATATTGAACAGTCCTGCGTTAATCCAGAGTATGATCTCGATCGGCGAAGTCGCTGGGAATCAGCGTCGCGTACATACACACGCCGTGGAGAGTGTCAACAAAAACATTCCAAACAAAATAGACATCTCTTTTGCTCTTAGTGCTTTTGTTTTGTTCCATTTTGTTCCAAATGCTTTTATTTTATTTATCTTTTCGTTCCAGAGCACCCAGAGAGCATCTCCCGGCACGAGTTATGTTGGCATTGACAGTGCTTCTTTTTTCTTTTTTCAGGTAGCACATGCGGTGAGCATTGGGTATACAAAACCCCATGTTTAAAGCAAGTTGCTTACGCTGTGGAGTAGCTAAGTGGTAATGACTCCGCTCTGCATGCAGCCAACAGACGCCCTACATCCCAACTACAACATCAACAACGACAACTACTACAACATTAACGACACCTTCTACAACATCAACAACGAATGTCATTTCCAGTGTTGGGAAGAGCCCACAACAGCTATCACCGTAAAAGTAAACAGGTATTAAGTTGAGCACAAGTGTGATGCCTCAATGCCTTTTAACACGTTATGTCTAAGAACTACTGTGAGAGGAGTGCCTGAATGTACAAACCAAACTGTTAAATAAGAAAAAAAAAAGTTATAGAGAATTAAAAATGTTGCTTCATGTGCACTGAGTAAATATTACAATTCCACTTAAATTCTTCATTTTGAGTATGAGTAGAGAGTATATGTTACCACAAAGGTTCGTGGCAAAAAACAAAATATCTGGAACACGTAACTTTTTCTTTTTAATGCTTCCCCGGTGCCACAAATTGTGCCATGGCCCACGTTAGACAAGATGTAGGCCTTGAAAAGTACTAGCGATAGAGCTCAGTATGTACAGAGGAACCTCGATTTAATGAAGTCATCAAGACTCGCTAATTCTTTCGTTAAACCGGGAGCTTCGTAAAATCGAGGAAGGGAGACCTCGCGCATAGGTTCTGCGGGGAATCCGAATTTGTTTGTTAAATCAGGGAAATTCGCGAAATCGGGTTTTGTTAAATCAAGGTTCAACTGTACTACGTTAAAACGCTGCGTTCAATAAGTACCATTTATGCTTTGCAAACGAAGTGACGTACACAAAGCACACAAAAGCTCGGGGCCATGTGGGTTAATTATGTTTGCAAGTGGAAACGACTTTCAGTAAACACGGCGGTCAGTCACAGAGGCTCGCGCTGTCTTCTCAGAAATAACCCGTACGTAGGTCCACTGTTGGAACCCGTGAGCACAAAAGACGACGCGTCTAATAGCCAATTCACACAACAGACCGAATCGCGATTTTTTTCGTGGACCAAGTACCACATGACCGGCACGTCACTGATTCCTGCGATCCGCGCCTCGTCCGCGGACGTGCGGACTGATGAAGTCGAGCGCCTTTTCACTCGCGGATTTTGGGCGGGAGGTTGACCTGCAAAACGTTTAGTCTGGCAACGGTACAATGTTTTCTTGTTTTTGGACGATTAAAACAAAAATGGCACATCGCTGTGTTTTGTGCAATTGCTGGTTCATTCTGTTGCGCGTTTCTTGGTTCCACGTGTGAAAGAAACTGCAGAAACTTTGTCTGGCTGACGTGGTGCAGGTTCTGGTACTCCCCCAGGTCCGTGTCAAGAAGTTTCCGACAAAACTCGTCTAGCATGTCGCGATAATCTTTGTACATCCAATCAGCCTTTTACCGAGCAAGACCCTTCCTGCAGCTGTGGTGTACTTGAGTGTTGTGCACAAGTGTGGAGTGCGGTGAAGGCATCTCAAACGCCCCTCCGCGAGCCCAGAACTTGGTCCCTTCAACACCGAAGCCTTCTTCGGCAGGACCATGCCTGTGTCCCTGTCATGCCTTGGGATAGTAAAGCCAGTGGCGTTTCGTGCGAAGCCTATCACGGTGCTTTGTCTCGATCTGTACGTAACAGCGGCACAAATGATTCTATATCTCGGTAGCAGACATCAATTTCTCTCTTGGACAATGGTGCCACGGTGCAATGTTAGAGTTTTGCGGCACTGTGGGCTGGCGAACAGGTTCGGTCTGTCCTCGCTGGCGTCTGCTCGTCATCTCCCTCGTGTGGATGTGCTTGGGAGACGGACGAGCCGCGGACATGTTGTCACGTGATCAATCCATCCGCGGATCAGTCCATCATGTGAATCGGCTATAAACAACAAGTATGACTGTAAGGCTTGTTCGGCAGTAGAAGCGTAATAGGGTAACAGCATGTCACATTTGCAAAGTTGCGAACGTTACATGCTTGCCGCTGAAAATTGATAGCGACTGCCTGGGTTGACAATAGAGCCGCTAGGTGTCTCTTACTTTACCGTGGCTCGAGTTACATATGGCTAGAATTTGTGGCGCAAGTCGCCGCCTAATTTGGCCAGCCACAAAATTCGGTGCAATTTGGCACAGTAAGGTGTATTTTTATCCGGATGACACAGGAAATTGTTTTTGGTGCAAAATGGTGCATTTGATGCAAGAGTGGAATCACTGCACTAGTGATGTTCACTTCAGCCAGTGAAAGGTATGAACGAAGTAAGCAACCTGATGGGACAAGCCTTTGCCAGCAGTACCACCATAAGACTGGCAAAACGGACATTTTATATTCTCCGCCTTCACTTCTGCAGGCAATGAACAGCAAAATGTATCTTCGTGTCGGCCTTTTAAATAGCACAGTAGAGCCTCATAATACTATCTTCAGGATACCACAGTAAAAAGAATTCATGATCTAGGAAAATGTAACAACCAATAATGCTTTTGGGGGTCAATAGATGAGATGGGAAAAGCAACTGCGACACAACAATTTATTTTAGATGGACTTTCCCGGCTGGGTAGAACTACCACATTTATTCAGATGTGCAATTTTTCGTTTTTTTTTAACTGCTTTTTAAGATTATGGGCTGATCTATAATTGCAATCAATAAATGTAGACCTACAAGTTGCAAGAGAAATTTTCAAGCTGATCTATAGTATGTTGCAGGTTAAGAAGGTAGGGCGATGGAAAGGAAGGTGGTAGAGGAGGCAGTTTCCTCCTCCCCTTGCCAGCATTGTGTCCATTTCCTCCTCTTCCACCTGCTTCTCCATCGCTCTACCCTCTTGAGTTGTCACCGACTATAGCTAACCTAAACGCTTTCCCGCACCAGCCACTACTCCTAGCACACCGCTGCAGAGAGGTGTTCGATGCATGCGACGTGTAAGACGGTGAAGCCTCCTGCATGCAGGTGGTTACGCGCCAGTGTGAAGCAGAGAAGCTCAACGTACAGTGTACGACGGTGAAACTGCACGGGCAACCGAGCTAGGCTGCATGAAGGCACCATAGACCAAGTCCAACAGTAGCGAGCTTTCTCGCCAAAGAAAGGAATGGAAAGATTATTGAGCAATTGCAAAAGCCTGAATCTTTTTCAAGCCGAGTCCAAGCTTATGCCTGCCTGGACAAGGACAGCAAGAAGCACAGTGCAGACAGGCAAAGAGGTACAAAATTACGCAAGCTTCATCATGCTGACAAAGACCAGGGAGCACAAAATGTGTCCCGCACAAAATGTGTCCCGCCAACGAGGAAGCATCAGCAAAGTGTCTTCCCCTGTCGTCTGCTAACGATAACTTCAAAAAAGGTGTTTTCAAACCTTACTCGTGCTATACAAAATCCCATTATGGCAGTATCCAACTGCTGAGTAATGTTGAAAGGTCTATAAACTTTCAACACGTTTGGTTTTTGCTATAACATCTCTACTTCTCAAACCCAACTCGAAACAGAAAATATGTTCTGCCAAAACTCGTCGCCTTCCACCCTCCTTTCTCTGCATACGTCCCCCTCAACGCTCTTTTCTGAACACCAACATTATCATACTTCTTCACCGCTCAACAACACCGAGGAAACCTGCGCTTTCGCTCGTATCGTCACTGCCGCAGACTCTTCCTTATGACGCCACCGCGCCAAGGCTGTACTCCGTCCCAGGAGCGGGCACGGAGAAAACAGCTGGCTTTTGTGGCTCACGACCGGCCTTGCGCTTAGACTGACCACCAACGAGAGGCGGCCCGTACTGTGCGTACACGGCGATGTGAGGACGATGAGAATCCCAAGGTACGACAATGCGAAGTGGAGGCGTGTACATGACGACGTACAGCTATCGCTTTTACTTCTCACACTGTAAACAAAAAAGGCACCCTTTTTAATTGTGCACCAAAGATGTTAGCTGGGGCAAGACCAATCAAACGAGTACACTGCACAGGCGCTATTCTATGTTGCTTTTGGGTGACGCGTCACGTCAATGAGGCAAGCGGTCACTTCATATGACGTCACGCTGTTCTTGCCAACACGTTTTGTTGGGAGTGCAATGCTTCCGGAGTCGCTGTGCTATGCAGCTCAGTGGCCCACAGTATCCAACTGCCTCCGCACCGACCGCAGTTCGAACACCTCTTAAGCTCAAAGTTTAATGTATAAACTTTATATATAACCTTAATGTTGTATACTGTTCTCAGTGTGACTCATAAAACCTATTCTGTGTTAAAAAGAGGGGGAGCAAAGCAAAAGAAAGAGGCAGGACATGGCACAGCTGCCCAATGCATCGTATCGGCTGCGTCGGGTGGCAGCTTTTAGAAGCAACAACTTAGAAGACGAGTGCAACAAATGAGAAATTGACACAGATATCCCACGAGAGTTCAACGGGACTGGAGTTTGAGAATATAATGGCGAGGAAAACATATCAAACAAATTTTACCGTAACTTCCAAAACAAGCAGATTATCTGGTTGTGACGGATTAATATTTATTTGTTGCAAGACCAGTCACATCTTTTGGATGTAACAGTCGAGATGCCTCTGTCACTACTATCTGCTAACAGATGGCTAGTCGTGTGGTACATCCTGCTTGGCCTAGAGCTATTAAAAAAAAAGCCTGAAGCAATCTCCAAATATTTTTCTTTCTCTCTTCATTAATTTAAACTGTAGCTCAATGCTGAAGAATACAATCAAATCCATAAATGAATTCCACTTGCCACATACTATACTACCACATCTAGCAGGGGATGCTCCAACTCAACATGCCGTGCATATGAAATCCATGCAACCTTGCATATGAAATCCATGCAATCTTTATGGTAGTAATAAAATATGGCAATAAAAAAACACCCATGAAGGAATTTGTTGATCCAACTGCACAGACGGGGAACACTCACCCGCCTCCAGGATCCTTTCTCCAGGCCTTTGGCGTGTCCATTGGCTGATCTGCTCCTTCTCCATGTACTGAAGGCGACGCTCTTGGAATCCAATGCGGATGGTACTCTGCAAAGCATTGAATCCAGCTTTCAGGTTCATGCCCCTCTGTTTTTTTACGTACCAAAAATCATCTGACAGCTTTGTCAGTACTGATGTCATGCACAACTGGCGAGCACCACTACCTAATTTACTCCAAAAGCTCCCTAAAATAGGGATATGCCCTGCAGTTAAAGGGGCTGTGCAACAATCTTTGGACTTCACTCAAATAATTGTGGTAGTTGTTCCGTCACGTCTAAATTGAAAAAACTGAAAACCAGCTCTGCCTGCGTGCGTTAGTTCCTTCTTAAATGATTGTTAAACAATTGAAGTTTTGGGCACCTCCAAGCTACTCTCAGCTCTTACACCGTCTTCAGAGTCACGTGCGCAGTGACGTGTTCCCGGGTGCACGGAGAATTTGGTGGGATTCTCACTTTTTCAGAGCCTACAGCGCACGCAGCCTCTGCTTGCGATTGACACGGCGACCTTAAAGAAGGCTGTTCTGAGCGATGTGGAAAGGGGAAAGAGAGGGGGCACGGGTGGGGCAAAGAATTCGCATTGCTGTAAGGAAGCTGAACTGGCATAGTAGCAACGGGGTGGGGCTCAAGGGAGAAATAGATTTTTTTCACCTAGGGCAGATGGTGCCACTAGAACTGAATACAGCACAACTCTGTTGATGATATGAGGTTTTTGACGCAATTACTTGTGTTGAAACAACAATATTTATAAGATATAGCGTTATATTGAGCACATAATGGCCCGTCTTGACAACTGATTACAATACACCAGGGTGTGTGTCACGCCTCAGTTCCCATGGGTGCCACTACACGGCTGCAAATCGCGAAATATTCTTGTTCTTTGCTTTGCAACGGAATCGCGATATTTCAAAAGAATGAGGTGGCTTCTCTGTCCTTTATGGTAAGATGTAAAAATTAAATGTAAAAATTAAAAACAGCAAATTCTTTCGAAGTTACAATTGTTACAACACCCCTTCACAACTGATTTACCAGACAGCATTATTTCATTAGGGAACGTTCACTAGAAAGGAGTGATGGCAGAGCACTGCAAGTGGAGGAAATCGTTCGCAATGACTCTTTGCAGCTCTCAATGACTGATGTACCAGCTCTGGTGACAGTGAGCTTAACGTACCCACACAGAAGTTTACATGCTCCTGCACAAAACCACTTCACACCTCAAACCAAAACATTTGTTACAAAAAAAGTAGAGGTGTGCGAACACCGAAAAGTAGTCTTCGAATCGAACACCGAATCGAATTAAGAAAAAAAAGCTGAATATCGAATTGAATATCAAATAGTGATTTTATTTGTAGGAATTTTTCAAAGTGTGCCGTGAATGAGGTTTTTATATGTGCAGAGTATGCGCCTGGTGCAGAATATGCATCTCGTACGGAACAAAAAATTTAATGTATAAAAATACTGGTAAAGAAACCAAAAAAAAAAACAGCTGCTGATTGACATTGGGCACTAAAGATCCAATTTAATGGTGCAAACATAATCTATATACCCGAAGCGTCACAAAAAACCCAAACTTACAGCCACGCGTGCCTTTTTTTTTTTCTTGTTAAAAGCCCGACCTAACACCACGACATGTTCTCTTATTTTATGTTTGTATACCTGAGAAAGGGGCTTTTTGCGATATTTCATCTCAATTTTAAAGAAGAAGGGCATCCGGGATTTTATTTTATATAAATTAAGAAATAGCTGTTAAATCTGAGTAAACAAGCTTAAACAATATAACCTGAAGTAAGAAAAAAAAAAAAAAACGTGTGGTTAGGTGGCGCAAGTTACCATCCAACTGCCGCTATGCAATCATTCCTCCGTCCATCTATCCTGTTTTAGAGAGCCGAGATTTAAAAGAGGGAGCAAGCGAAACTGAAACCATGGAGCTCTTGCACAGATTGGTCGTAAGTGCGCATGTGTTGTGTTGTTGCGTGGAAAGAAGGCGAGGAGCAAACGGAAGAGCGACGACGCCTGCCTAAATTGACACTTTCGTCTTTTCGTCAGATTCTCGCAGTTCGTAATTCAAACGCGGCTATCGAACAGTTGGAAATCCTCACAAATCAAGGCACACTATTTTTCCGTTCCATTTCGTTCCAAATCTTCCGGCTTGCATACGCTGTAGGCTTGCGGTTCCAAAAGAATGACGACAACAACTCGGCTGGTTTCATCGGCGTGGTTGATGTGGTTTTCTTTTTGTGATCTTACAGTCGCCGGTTTCTGCGAGTGTGACAACTGTGTTCTATATCGGCGCTTTTTACTCATGAAAAGAATTAGATATGGCGCGGAATTCCGGCCTCCCAACAATTCCTTTCTGGAAGCGGTGCAAACGGGATGTTTTGGATGTGATTCAAGGTTAGATTGTGTCACGATCATGAGTAAATCTGAAGGCTATAAAGTTTCTGGCGTTCGTTACTTTTCTTTTTTCTAACCTATGCGTTAGATTTTTATGGAATGGTAGGGCCATAAGGCGTTTCTCGCATGGTCTGTCTAACATCACGGCACTAACATCGGGAGAAAAAAACGCCTCTTTTGTCAGCTCCGCGCCGACCGCGCGTCTTTGGCCGAATATATTGAATATTCAAGTGACCGAATACTAGGAATTCAATTTGCGAATCAAATTATTTGGGAACTTACTATTCGATTGAAATTTTCGAGTATTCATACACCCCTAGAAGAGCCATTATACAAGCTTGATCATGCTGACAAAGGCTGGTAACCACAGAATGTGCAATAGGCCTTCCAGGGAAGAAAACAAGGGCATAAAAGGCCGCAAAGCGAGCAATCTCATTTCCATACAGCGCGAATGAGCTCGCCCTTGCGTGGTCCGTGCCACCAACCCTGGATAGCTCAGTCGGCAAAGCACTTGGCTCACAATCCCAAGGTGGCGAGTTCAAATCCATCCAAGGGACTCGAGTCTTTTTATAAGGTTTTCTATGGTCATAACACTCTTCGGTGTTGCTATTTCGTAACAGCCGGCTGCTACAGCCAACCGTTCCTGAACTCCATGGACATCAGCTGATAAAACAGATTCTTTGTTAAAAGTTCCTCACCTTAAGCATCTTTCCTCTCATCTCTGTTAAATCCCCCAGTTTCTTGAGCTTGATTTCATACGATTGGCCTACAAAAAAGAATGGGACGGGGTCATTTTCACAGCACATCCAAAACACTTGCACACCACAACATCCACACACATCCACACAACAATTCCCCAAAAGCCAAATATATTGCAATGTCACCTAACCAACAGCTCTTTATAGGAAGGAAATGCACCTGTACCAAAGTGCCTTTTACGAGGAAATCAATCACAGATCAAAGTCTAGAGTATGAAAGCCAACAACATGTGTAATAACAAACAACCGGCCATATAGACATCCTTCTATGATGTCCCCTGTTGAAGCCATATACCACTGCAGACTTTGCAGAGTGGCCTGTAGCAAATGAGGCATGTCTGATTTATTCCAGTGAACACAGTTACTTCTAATTGATGCCTGCACAACCCTCCGATGGTAGCAAGGGCAAGAGTGACATTCCCAAGAGATATGCAATGCCACGCTGTTACTCCGTGGTCGGAGGCACACACTACTGAAAAGAGGTGACAGCTTATTACAGCTATGAGAAGAAATAATGAATCAAGATACAGAAGCCTTTGACAACAAAAAATATAGACTTAGAAATGTGGTTCTTTTTTCTGCACAAAGTGGTTATTACAGCCATGAAACGAGCTCGTTTTGCAAGTGATTAAGATTTTAAGATTCAAATTGATAAAAGCGCCGTGGTAAAAAGTTGTCCACAGCTTTTAGTGGTGCCGAAGTATTGATGCCCCACAGCCTGACATATGCTGGCTTGTGCATCAAAGCAATCGGCTGTGTCCTAAATCCTAGTGACTGCCTCCGACCGTGGCAACTTTGCCGTCGTGCCAACCTCGACGCCGCCGTTGTTTGCGCCACCCAGCCGGCACGAGCGTCCCGTGGCCGATGTGCACCCAACTGGCAGGCAGACCTCACAGACTTGCCTGTTGCGAACGAGGCACGTCTGATCTAGTGCAGCGACCACGGCGGCTTTTGTGTCGGGGTCCCAAACTTCCCAGCAGCCACACCACCACACATCCCCACAGTTCGTGACCTGCCCACGACCGGCAGCAGACGGTGACACACCCTGGTTGAGGTAGGTCATGGTCTCCTCGTGCAGCTTGGTGGCGATGGAGGTGGCCGCCCCCAGGAAGTACTGGAAGCCGCCACTAGGGGACGACACCTCACCGGCCGATACCCCCAGCCGGGGCAGCGGCACCGACATGGGCCCCGCCGGCTGATACACCGCCATGCGCAGGTCCGGAGCAGACGAGCTGTGCCGGCAGCGGCTGTGGAGAGGGCGGCACCGGTGTTGCCCGTTCAGGGGGCGGGGACAGCGGCATGCTGACAAACACTGGGCTCCCTTTCAGACGAGCTCGGTAAAGGGCAAGGGCTACGGCCCCTAGGAGCCAATTAGAGCAACGGAGCGAAGTAAGTGACAACTTTGCACGGGAGAAACTCTCACGGTACGCTGTCACATGACTTGCACCAATGTTTCAATTGGCTCATGTAGCCCGTAGCATTCACCCTTTACAAAGTTATTCTGAAACTGAGTATAAGTACCTTCAATAAAATGCAACAGTGAAGTAAGGGAGAAGTGGTAGCACACCGCCCCATATTCCAACTCAATGTTTGTGTGGGACGTGGAACAACAGTTCTCATGATTCTTTGCTGCCCATTGAATTCCCATCTTATAAAAATGCCCAGCTTGATGGGTTTTCAGTGTACTACTAAGTTTATTTTCCTGGTTTTGAGGCAAACAACGTGCTACAGTGAAAATAGCATAAAATAAAATGCCTGTTGCTATGTTAATTACTTTGACTTTTTAAATTAAACTGATTTCATTGCCTTTTGATAAGCAGAACACTATAAGTTCCGGCTACTCTTGGAGAAATGAGCCTCATGGAACAAATTTTGTGATCCTGAAGTATGCCTGATTGCAATCACATTTAACTAAGATATAATCTAGTGCATCCCAACAACCTCCCATTTTTGCGCTGAAGAGTCTTTATAAGCAGATTCCAACGGATACATGACGAGAGAGGCAAAGTGTAGTAATTAAGGTAATTTGTGCTTCAAGGCGAGCTAAAGTGCCCATCATAGTTATAACATTCAAGAATGAAAAAGTATTCATACTACAATACGACAGTTAATCACTGCTTGCTTCTTTCTTTGCCTTTCCCAAGTCTTGGCAAAAGTAGAAATGAGACAAGTGACATTTTGTGCGAGCATTATCGCCTTTTTAAATATTTTACTAATTAATTTGCTAAAAACGAACAAAGAAGTAAAGTATGGGGCAACCAGAGATTACTAGCTGCAGTTGGCTACCAAGAAAACTCCACATTATCGGCACGCTTGAGAGCCTGACCTAGAGCCAGTGACCAGAGCATGAACTGGCCCATAAACCGACAGACCGGCCAGCATTTAATAGCCCGCAGAGTGCCCACACGGCACCTGTCTGGAAGGGACCTTTGGAAGTGTCATACAAGGAGACCAGATAAGGCCCTGCCAAACAGGGAGACACAAAAGGAGTAACGACCGTCATGTGACACCAGCCACCGCAAAGTGCAAGGGCCGCCGGCCGGGAGAGGGGGCTCTGGGAATGGCACCAGGAAACGGAACCGGCATCCAGAAACGTGCCCGCTTAACTCCCCAGCGGAGTCGCAGAATAGCCTCAGACACGCGCCGCCACGTGACGCCCCGCTATCACCACGGCCGGGCTTATCAGCGGCCTTTATTTGTTCCCTGCGAGGATCGCTCTGCACCAAGGACGGGCCCCTGAGCAGAGTTGTCTGCATAGCTGGCACTGTCATTGGAGGGAGATGCTATGCGGCAATGGCTGAGCACGAGTTGGGCTTGTGACACCTGAATGTGCTGGGCTTCCGACTGCAAGCCAATCAATCTTATCTGGTCCTTTATGGGGACACACTACCCAAAAAAGTGCATGTTTGAACCACTTGTCTGATTTAAATTACATTTACAGGGCTTTTTTCTGTTGATGTTGAAAGCATTTCTGCCAAATTTTGTTAGCCTAGGTAAAGTACAAAAGAATTGCAAATGTTCAAAGAAAGTGGGGCGTGTCTACGTAGGAAATCTAGTTTTGAAATTACTTATAAATTTGTTGTTTTCATGTGTAATATTGCTCTAGGACAGTTCAGAGCAGAGCCATATTTGTATATTATACCATCTTCATGACAAAAAAGCCACATAAAAACAAATGCTGTTTTTTTTAGACTTCCATCCTTTGTCCAAAAGTTTAGTTCTTGAACATTAAAAATACAAAAAATAAAGAAATACAAGATCATAGCTATCTTCCCCTTAAAATCTCACCCCAGAAAAACTCATAAAAATGAATTCAAGTTACATAATAACAAAATGATTGTTTCCCTAAAGTGAAATTTATGCCAAAAAATGGAATGGAGAAAAATGTGTTCAAAGTGCTCCAACCTTTACCTTTTCTTTAGCATCGGTGGACCGAAAATAATTTATAAAAAATTAACTATGTAGTGTAAACTAATGAAACCTTCAGCGAATACTTTCTAGATGTTGGTGGAAATAAATATGACATTTTCCAAAATCAACTTTTTTTGCAGAAATTGTGTTTTATGGGTAGTGTCCCCCCTTGAAGGGACACTGACCGGGTATTTATGCTCGCCGAGGTTTTTAGTTGTACGTGACATATGAGAGCTCAACTACCTGGAACAGAATTTGCGGCTTGAAATTCGGTCTCTTTCCGCCCGAAAACCGCCGATCAAGAACTGGCCGGTTCGAGTCTCGCTCACTCTCTTTTTCGCGGTCACGGGCCGTTTTCTAAGGTATCGATGCGACCACCAAATTTAATCAAAGTCGTGGGTCACTGAAGGCACACACTCAATATTAAAAATAGAAAAAATTATGAAACCCATTTTTTGTGGCTTCTAAAAAGCTGTAAATACGTTGATTGAAAAAAAAAGTTCCACAGACAACCGGAAGCATTCTGTGCGTCCGTCGTTTCGCGTATCGTGGGACGGCGATGGCAGCGGACGACGGACGTGGGACCTCTATTTCAGAACTGTCGTTCGCGGTACCGGCGAATTCTGTCTACCGTTAAAAAAGAAATTTGGGACTGATCAAAAGAATTGGTATTCATGCCGTACGACACGCCCGACCACCAAGCCGATTTGCACGAAGACGTCGCCGAGCCGTCGCTCCCTTCTCAAGGCTGAAGACATCGCTCGCGCAAACGTCAAGCACGACGTGTCTACTTCGAGTTGAATATGCACGCGTAAGATTTCTTTACTAGGTGCAAATGTCCCCAAAGCGTGGTGCTTCCCGTCTTCGACCCGGGAGTGCTTTTGCTAGAAAAAAATCGACAGCAAACTTTCCAACTTACAGTTTACCGGCTGGATTATTACTAAGAAAAGAGATCCACCACAAAAGAGATGCCCCAGTAGCTCAGTGGGAAAGACGTCCGGTTCACATGCGGTAGGTCCGGGTTCGATCCCCTGTGAAGCTATTTTTTTTTTAAACATTTTCCGATGTTTACATATCTTTTTATTTTTTTTTTTACAATCATCACTGAAGAAACAAACAAAAAAATAACAAACAAATGTTGTGGACGATAATTCGCTGAATTAAATGGTATGGGATTTCCGTTTTGACACCTGCGAACTCAATGTAATCACTTTCCACAAAATGCAAGGAGCATATAAATCAGGTAGCGTCCGCTTTCCGAGGTGCCCGTAAATGTTCTACAGGAATTGCAGCCAGCCATTGGTCCCGATCCCGTTGATCTTTCGGAAACTCTGTCGCACAATGCCACTTTTTTTCGGATGCAGGACATGTGAGCCAGCTCTTCACGCAACATCTTGGGTGTATTCTTTTCGGAGCCGATCATGGAAATTCACCACGGGCACTCACTACTCATCTCCAATTCCTCAATGTACAAAACAACTCATCTTGGAGTACTGAACAACGAGCGGAACAAACATAACTGCAAAAGTATCGCACGGCGAGCAGTTCCCGCACGCCGCATGTCGTGTCGTCTGCTACGGAGAGGAGAAAAAAAAAAAGACAAAAACGCACGGTCGGGTGTAGCCACGTGACTTCCGCCACTCACTCTCTTCTCTCCACTTCACTGACCTCCGTCGGGTTTCGGTTTCGGTTTCGAGCAGTTGCGTCTTTTGGCTTTATTAAAGAAATACGCTACTCTGTTGCAAAATATTAATTGGGTAGTCCTCTGACACCATAATGAAGCGCCTGGCAAAAAATAAAAAAAAATTTTTTTGAGGGGTGTCAGTGTCCCTTTAACAGTGAGCATCCAACGGATGTGAGGAAATAAAAGATTGAATAGTCCGTGTGCACAATGAAATCATTTGCACACTCTTATTGCAATAGGGGTTGTCCAGGATTTAACAGCTTTCATTTGGATGCAAGCTGATGACCAGAAGTATGATTTGGTGGAAACTTACCATATTATTATGCCCAGCCACTGCGGCTCTTCGCGTGTTAAAGTGCGGCTTGCGGCTCCCTCTCCTACTGCCCGCCCGCCCGCCCGCCGATTTCGGGACCACTTTTGATGTGTGGGTAGGGTAGGACGGTGAATGAACTAGAGTTGAAGAAGCACTCCAGACGCCATGCTATGAGGCAGCATCCCGCCACTTCAATCGGATCCAATTACAACTCTGCTTTTATTGCGTGCCTAAACCCTTTTTCTCTCTAATAAAATAAAAAAACTGCCCGACCCTGACAACTATTGAAACGCGAGGGATGACCGAACTAGACTCTGGTCCTAAACACGCAGTCTCACCTAGGACTAGTGTCAGCCGAATCCCTGGAGCTGCTGACGCAGAAGCGTTTGATGGCGCTGCTCACATCGTCATCCGTAGTGAGCGGCAAACGGTTCTTCTTGCCATGCACCAGGGAACGGGGCTCGCAGGAAAGCCCCACGCTGCTGTTGCTGCCCCCGTCGCTGCTCAAGGAGCAAAGCTTCTCCGTCAGACACGCTCGTGCACATTGTGAAATCACCGTGTGCGCTACATCCCGAGTGCTAAGCTCCTTTTACCCCTAAGCAGACAGTTATGTAGGAGCTACGAGCTTGCCAGATCAATCAACCACCTCCCTTTCGTCGCCTGAACTTGTCCTCCGCAGGTGGGTGTGGGTGGGAGTGTGATCATGTAGCGAAATACGGGTGTACGACTGGTCCAATGAACATGTGGCATCCGCCGCACTGTCAGCTTAGGGGTGAACAGAGTAAAGCGGCGCAATTCTTCATCTGCTACAACCATATTCAAACCATACATGGTGTGGTTTCAACATGGTTGTAGCCCTGGCCTGAGTCCGTCGACCCTAAGTCTTTTTCGACCCAGGCCCGGCTCGATAAGATGTCTACTTGATTTGGCCCGACCCAAGCCTGCCCCGGTTGGAGCTGCTTCGGCGGTGGGAGATAAAGCATGTCTTGGGCATGGGTCTGAGCCCAGCCCAGGCCAGAGAATGCGTCTTGCAGGCCGGGCCGGGCCCGAGATTTTGGGTTGGCCTGGGCTCATGCAGAGCTCTAGTGTGCAATGCTGTGAATGCTTTTGGCGCAAACATGTGGCTTGATTTAGCCTTCTATCCGAATGCGTTCTCGTGCAAATGACACAAGAGAAGAAGCCACACACTTGTACCAATAGGATCGACAGTGCTGTACACAAAGTAGCAAATACTTTTTGCACAACGAACCAAAAGTTTCCAGCGGTACAGCATGAAAACTATGACAGTGGAGTGATGGTTGATTACATGAAAAGCATCACTTGACATCATTCCTGAATTCCTACGAACAAGCAATAGAAAACACAAGGTAAGAAAATTATCCACCTGCTTCTTTTGGGTTATATGTACTGTTTGCTTGTTATATGACAGTGATATTCAGTACATGCCACTAGCCACAAATATATAGATGGGGTTTGTAAGTTTCAGCTAAACAATAAAAGGACACTGTACTGTCCACACGTCCTGCTACTACAACATAAAAAAAAAGTCAACACCTAGGAGGCCCAGAGCGAGAAAATAACCTGCCAATAAATGTATGACCAAAAGCAGGAGTGAGATGCAGTGACATGTGACAGCACCTCTTGGTAAGCAGATCTGGAGACACTATAAATGGAGAGTCAATGGGGCTCTATTTCAAGATTCTGCACTTTCTCCCATATGATCACCTTTCACATGACGTGAAGCATCAGGAGATAGTCTCTGGGAAATGCTAAAATCTACTGCCATTTTGAATTCATCTCTCACCTCACAGCAGCAACTTTGAGCGAGTCTGGCAGAACATAGCCATTCTCTCGAGGCATCTCTTGTTTGACCGCTGACAGGCTGGGTAGGGCCAGCAAGGCATCACTGCAAGGACCAAGGAGTTTTTAGGTTGGTGGAAGCAATCTCATTATAGGGAAGCTGAAGTGGTTTTTTATTAGAGAAAATACACTTAAGTAGTGTTCACCTGACCTCCAGGATCTTGAATATCGAAATGTTTTAATTTGGTACAAGGTGGCTGCAGGAAATTATTTTCAAAGTACCGTTGAAGGCCCTCCTTCCCAAAGCGTGATGTCACAAAAGGTATTTTCGGTATCTCCGCTCTCATTCATCTTCAGTGGCTATCAAAGCTATGCACATGCACTCTTGCTATTTTTAAAAAGGGCAGAAAAAGACGTCACGGCTGGTGCCAGTGCGGGGGAATATACCTATCAAGCTTGCGATTGCACGCTTGGCCCTCGAGCAACACGCGCTTGGCGGTTGAAAGATCCTCTTATGACGTCACGACTTGTCGGAGATTTTCCGTGATTTCTCACGTTTAGGTAAACTTTCGGGAAAAACGAATGCGATATTCAGATTCACAGGATAAAACTACACTAAAATCAACCTCCATCACATTTTTTGGAGGAACTGTTTCAGCTTCCCTTTAAGTAAGGATTTCTTTCTGTATCTTCTTTGTTCACTCTTAGGATTTGTTCTCCACACCAATAATTTTAATCGCTCATTTGCTCCTTTTCTTTTAATTGAAGGCACATAGTTTGTTGCCATTACACGACACTTTGAACTTGATTAATTCCTATTGTATACTTATTTTCATGATCACCTCTATCAAGTGACTGCCTCCACAGCATGGAGGCTCCATTTCAGCCATAAGGAAATAAAGAGGGTTCAAACCCCAGGTGATCCTTCCCCAAACTTTATGGAACACCACTCATAGCCTCAGTTGCTTTGCATCCTGAAACTGCAATATTTCCTTTTCCTCTCTCAATCCCAACATGACATTCTTTCGTTATAAGTTTTCTTTTTTCAAGAGAGTATATGTGCACCAAACTTTTTACTCTAACCTCTGTGGTGTCTAAACTCCATTTTGTTGTAAGTGCGAACATAGCAGAAGCACACAAGCGAGCTTTGGGCTGCCAGCATAAATGCTTGTGCGTGTGCCATGCACTCGTGCAGTGCAAGCATCGCTTGGGGCAACATGCTCGTGCTTGTAGCTTCCACGTGAAGTGATCATGTACTCGTGTACATGATCGTGTACATTGTGTACATGCACACGTGAAGTGTGATCATGTATGCGAAGTTGAACTATTAATATCACGAACTAAGCAACATAAATTTTCTCCGCTTTCCTGGGTGCAAACCCACAAGCACTCCCCGACACCATCGTAACTGTTAATGACCCACTTTTATTTCGTTCGAAGTGCAAAATTTTTTCGGGAACGTGATCACTTGTGCTACCACGCCTCTCATTTCTTACATGCTAACTGTGAACTGCCTACATAAGGCTGCTATCCAAACATTTAATGAACAGAATTGAATAATAATTTTTAATTTTTCATGTAATACATCATTTGGATGTTCTTGAGAGCAATTAAACTTGAACACCAAGTGAAACAAGCTGTAGCTGATGGCAGGCCTGCACTATGTCAGTGGAAGACATGAAATATGACGAACTTGCAAGGCTGTTTCACGAAATGGCCTTTCACGTCCGGTAAACTGTGGTATGCCATGCTGGCAAACGACATTCACCCTTTTCTACATTAGTTTGCATGCAGACAATTAAATACCGACATCATTTCTGATGTTGGTGAAACGCACAAGCATGGCAACCCACTCTGTCGATGACACAACTCAGAAAGTGGGATTGGGGACACAATTGGGCCACATAAATCCACCACTTATTCATCTTTTCTTTCGAAGTTGCTCCGGCGGCATTTTTCCTGGAGCCATCGTGGCCGCAGTGGGGTTCGCTTCTCAATCGCCCTCTCATCTTAGGTCTGAATAAAGACCGGCAAGAACAAAAGTCGAGCACCAGCTGACGCTCTTTTACATTTCTGGCTACTCTGGCCGGTGCAGTTGATCACGACTCAAAAGAGAACTCGAGCGAGCCGGGAAGCACTGCCTTTGTACATAGAAGTACATAGGGCAAAAGTTCATCGACATGACATCCAGCAAGGTTTTAAGCTTGAACTACACCATGTGAAGCCACATACACGGTTGCAGTTTTGGACGTCCTCTACATTCTTATAAGGGCAAGCCTGCTTTCTACGAAAACACGACTGGAGTAAAAGTTCCTCGTGTCTGTGGAAGGAGCCGTCAGACGCAGAGCAAGAAATAAAGGGCTGGGCCCCCAGGCATACCTCATGTTGAACGACGCTGTACCCAGCTCCATGCCCAGGCCAGAGAGGCTGCCGTCGAAGTCCGCAGCCAGAGCATCGTCAATGTCGTCAATCTGCCAGTGGCTGACAGAGGTCATTCCAAAGCTCGATGGGGCCTGCCCTGGCTGGAATGTCCCCGGCAAGGAGGGAAACACACGAGTGTCGGGGGAAAGCACAGAAAAGGGAAGAGCGTGCTGTACAGGTGGAGCCAATAACAGTGGGAAGGCAACAGACCAACATCACACGTGAGCAGCAGACCGCACGAAGGCACGCCAAACTCTTCAAAACAAAATTACGGGAGCTCGGGGAAGCACAATATGTAACATACCGCAAATACAAACATTTCAAGCACTACATCTTGAAGGTCAGTAATATGAATGGTACAATTTGACAATTATACAGCTGCTGCCATAATTCCAGTGAACGGACAAATATATGTTTATCTCTATATTCAAACAAAAATAAAATATATCAATTTAAACGGAAATCTTCATGTTAATCAACATCAGAAAAAAGTTGTAGCGAGAAAATATTTTAAAAATTTACCAACTGACCTTGGACTACGAACGAGAGCATCATCTATCAATATATTTTAAGCGTGCTTTCTCTTATTCACTTAATATATGCCAAAAATTTCCCAGGACCATCCTTTGAAATGATTGCAAGTGTATTATAAAAGGGCTCTTCTCTAGTGTAACCCTGCTGTTTTCTACCCTAGCTAAGTTTAACAGACAATGTGGCATGCCATGAACACATCCATCCTTTGGCTTTTCCCATTGTGTCAGGAGTTTTAAGACTATTTAAAGTAATAATTCTTCAATTCATTCAGGGATTAGTTTGTTCTTTATGCCCTTTCTTCTCAGAGGTCAAATACTCAACGCACAGATATACCTGCTCCTGAAACTGGAGATAATCGGAACAAAATTGAACAAATGTAACATGCAAACAGTATGAATGCCTTGGCCATAACGTTATTTAAGAATCTCAACCCACAACCCGAGGAAAATGCACAATCTTTCCTAAAATGCTAGGATAGAAAAAAAAAAATCACATATTCAAATTACCATAACAATTGTCAGAAGCTCCGAACCTATATCAAAATTGCTTCAACTCAAAATTAGAACTTATCTAAAACGAAGCAGCTTGCTTCTTGTTAAACAATTTCTCTTGTGATAGCATCACAGCCATTTGCAATAAATGGCAGTGATAGCATTACTGCCATTTCAATAAATCCCCAATCTTATGCTAAGGCATGGCAGATGCTCTCTGCTAGTTTGCGTGTAAATTCCCAAAACCTTATTTGTGCAGGTCAGCACACCAAAAATGATTTACTTGTCTACAAATGCGAAGCGGTTAGGGAGGGATCATATTACAGGTGACGGAGATGTTGATACACGTTAGAAAACGAGCATGCTGATATATAAAAGTTGCAGAAACCACAACTTGCGAACCTTTGTGGTGGGCAAGCGCATTTTAGGCACCGGACACGCCACTGTTTGTGGCAGAATATTTTTGAGGGCGATAAAGATATTGTGTTTGCGCTTTGCCTGGCCATTAGTGCTCTAAAAAGGGAGCCGTGAACGGCGACCGTCAAGCTTCGGAAGGGCAGCGTTCACAGTATTGGTGTCTTCGTGTCATAGGCTCACAACTCGCTGCTCACCGTCTCGGTTTTAGCGTATTGCAACACGTGATCAAACCGCTCTATGGTTATTGATAGAAAGTTAGTTACCGCAGGTTACCGTGCGGTGTAGCAATACAACCGGAAGCTCGCACTGCGCCTTTATAACACAATTTTCAGCGTGCGCCAGGAGTGTTGCCATGCTCCTCACTCTAAAAAAAAAAAGGTTGTAGTCCTTACACCCCTTGTCCTATATACGACACCCCAAAACTTCAATTCGCCATGTAGCGCAATGACAACAAACTGACGGCCCCAACTTTTACGAGAGGCTTGATGACGGTGCAATATAAGATATTAAAGAGCTAAAGTATACATAAAAAAATACAGAAAAAAAAAAAAAAAAAAAGAACACTGAGGTTTTGCAGTAGGGCAAAAAACAATACATGGTTACTTTTTTTTTTTTTTACTGTCATTTACATATACTTAAGCTATTTTAATAAGTTGTACAACTCGGCTATCAAGCCACTCGTGAAAGTTGGTAGCGTCGGTTAAACACCAGTGCGCTGCATGTCCAACTGAAGTTTAGGGGTGTCGTATGCTATGCTAAAACTGCCCATTAACATAATCGACGTGATTAGAGGTTTTTATTTATTGCTTTAGGAAAAATATTTTAATATGCCATACATTTTCTGTACCATGTTATTTGCAACGTTGCGGTCCCTTTCTCCAGAACTGCCTGTTCTAAGCTCTCGTCACGAACGGCTGGCTAACACAGATGCGCTTAAAATGCTTCGAGCATTTCTTTATTTGCTTTGTAATTACCTGAAAGTAGGTACGGGAATTCTGTCCTTTTTGAAGTGCATGGAATAAATGGTCATGCTCCTTGTAACGGCCTTAAAACGCGAATCTATTCCCGATGTGTATTGCTCGACATACCGTTCAGCAATGAGTTTTCTCCTGCTTATGGCGAAGAGTAGACTTTTCGTAGACCGTACTATAGAACTTAACATTATTAGCGGGAGGGTTTTCCGCCGTCACGTTCAGCACAGACTGAGCTGGCGGCCATGCACAAGACCAGAAATCCGCAGCGTACGCGATATACGAAAAGTAAGACATCCCGGTCCTTCGTGCAATGCTGTCACAAGGCGGAGCACAAAAATTCCTATTTTAACGCACTCATTCTTTTCATTAAAACGGCTTCACGCATCAAGGCCGACAGTCTCTGCTACCGTTTCCGCGCTGCCGCCACAGCTGCCGTCCCCGCTCCTCTGGTTCTCCATTCGTCCGCCAGAGGGCGAGCGGCGGGCTGGAGTTGCAAATAGCAAAACTAGAATTACTCATGCATCGCAGACCCAGCCTCGTACTGCTGTTCTACAATAATCATCCAGATGACAGCCATTTTGATAGGCACCAGTGCACGCCCTATAGGTCGTGAAAGTTGCGAATACAATGCAACAAGTAAATTTTGACCTGGCCAACTTATTTACGTCTGATATAATTTCTAAACGACAAAGGAAAGCCTGGATTATATTTTTCAGAGTTGCTGACAATCCTTCCCTATCTGGCTTTGTATTGGTCAAAGGAAGAAGGAAAGATCCTCTGTCGTATGAGCATCAAGAGACAATATCATCACTAACAGGCACAAAAGCAAAGTTTGAGAAAAATTAAAAGACATCACCATGCTCTAGTTTACTGGGCTGGAGGTCATAAATAAAGTTGGCAAAAGAAGAACTTGAGTGTAAAATATTGGCAGCAACTTTTACTTTCAAGCACCAATAGTGCATCAAAGGCGGTATTGAAGAAGCAATTGTTTTAATTTGTTTAGAAGCCTATATACAGTCTTGTATAGTATGGGTCATGTGGCATCAGTATATATATTTAAAATATAGACCGGGTGACGTCAATTTTCCCACTAAATTTAACGAGGAAACTGAACTGTTGTATAAGTCATCTGACATCAGGCCATGTGACGTCACTCTCCCGCCACATTTAATGGGGAAACTGAATTGGGGTACAGGTCACGTGAAGCACATTTTCCCAAACTAAACTGGGTGTATCGATTTTTCCGTCTGACCTGACCTGACCGGCAGATAGAAAGTGCTGATGCAGTCGCCGTCATTAGATAGCTTCAACTTGGTTAGTCTCGGTGTGCAGTTGTGCTGGTGTGTTATGTGGTTTTCGCTTAATTTTGCGACGCAAATGTGTTTCTTGTGTTATGGCCACATCAGAAACTGAAATGATTTCCAGCCTAACTTGGGGGCATTTTTACTAAGAGCTTCCATATGGTCATGTTCAGCCTTCAGCCAGGTTCAGTGTCAAAATGACTGAACTGATGCAGAAGAGGCTATACCACTGTCTGGAGCTGTACCCAGAACAATACTTTTCTTACAAATAAACTAATAAAGAGACTAGTCTTTGAATGCATGGTAAACGAACAAGTCAACAACTGAATTGCGGAGAGTAGACAAACTTGTAAGTTTAGTGCTCAATGTTTAATTTTTGCAAACACAAACTTTTTCTGAACATCGCCGACTGGAAAACCCTCTGTAATGACGCATAGAATGCAAAGAGGAAAAAGCGATGTCTCTCCTTAATTCATTCTTTTCCAAAGTGTTTTTTTTTTTTTTTTAAGAATATAAGGGTTTGAGATGTTATGACGGTTCATCCTAGGCCGAGTAGGAAATGTTTTCAAGTATCGGTTCTGTTTTCAGAATTTCAAAACATTGACCTTAGGAGGTGAACTATTTGTTATATGGCCGTTCCCTCACAACATATTCAGAATATCAGGTAAGTGGCAGACCCGTCAAGTGAAGTCTGACATCTGTTTTCCGTAAAATTTGTAAAAAGAAATTCAAAGGTTTAAGAGAAATTACTTCCAATAAGTTTCACTGAAGTCAAATGCCAGGCACCACTTCATGAATCTGTGCGGAAATTTTTTTAATTTGATTGAACAGATGCATTTTTTACTTTCAGCGGCATCGCCAGCCCCTGAAAGAAAATCCGACATTAACAACGCTGCACTTGGGTGATTTCTATGCAGACAGTTACTTTTTGGCGTCACATATTGCATAATCCAAAGGGCTCACAAGCTGTCTGGAACGCAATTTTCACTTGAAGAGCCGTTAGTTTTTGTGTTTCAATAAATTAATTAAATTAGATATTTCCAGAAAATAATTAAAGCACTTGAGTAACTGCAGGCTTGGGACCGAGCACAATATAAAGTTTAGTTACATTCATAAATAAATCACTCAACCAAACGTTTAAACCGCAAAACAATTTCCCCATAGTATAATCAAGAGCAACTGTTTTTGATTTGTTATGAAGGCAGAGCACAATGCTTTCGGGGAACATACATAGTGGCTCCTTACGTTGACTCTATTGGTTGCATATCAAGATCGTAACTGTGCGGTCATAAATTTACCTTGCACTTCTTATTGCAAATGTTCTGCCACTATCACCAAGACCTTGGTGGATATCGAGCAATCCAAAGTGCTCCATGCTCGCACCTTAGAGGGGTAGATGTGAGCATGCGCTTTCACATTCAAGATGCCAACAAAAAAGTGCTCTAAAACTGCACCAAATCCACCAAAGAAATTCTGCATTAGAGTCATCTACATACTCAATGTTTGCCAGTGCTAAGGCTGATTCCTGTGCCTCCTCTAGCCTCCCCACACGTATCTGGTACGCCGATGACAATAGTGAAAACGTGTTATAAAACCAAGTGCAGGAGTTGTGCACCTTACGATGACATGGAATTAGGTAGTAAAGGTAAGTATTGAATGACACTTTACAAAACAAGGCGCTTTACAGAGCAATCGTGATGAAATGCAACGAAAAACATAAATACAACCCAATCACCAAGGCGTGAAGGGCAGAGCAGAGCAATGAGTTGAAGCCACCTTATGGCAGCCTCGTCATGTGATTCCAAGATGGCAGCACCCACACGACGGAAGGAGGAAGGGTCTATAGCTCACGTGACATCAGGGCATATTACCGGGTGATTCAAGGAGACGGCAGGCTCTTCAAATCGACCGGAAAATTCGGTTTCTTAACCTATCGCGCTACGACTTTATGCAGCGTTGCCCACAGATGGTGCATTTTTTGTAAAATTTGCAAAGACCGAACTTACCTTAGGAAAAAGTAAAGAAAGAAAAAGGCTTAGCTCCTATGGAAACGCAGCGACGCCACCAGTCTTCAAACAACACGGCGCCGTTTAGCACTGGAGACCAGAGATGGCGCAAGCGGTCGCAACGTCAACTGCCGCCAACGAACGAGCAGACGACACCGAGAGCCGGCGTCATTGGCAGACAAGGAACTGCAGTTCCTTGTTGATATTGCGCCTGTTTCTGTTTCTGCGACTGTCGCCGCCTGCCGAACGCGCGCCACTCTTGAGTCGAAAAAATTGTCTACTAAAGATGCTGGCTCTCGGCGCCGTATGCTCGTTCGTTGGCGGCGTTCGTTGCGCCATCTCTTGTCTCCCGTCCGAAACGGCGCCGTGTTGTTTGCAGACCGGTGGCGTCGCTGCGTTTCCATAGGAGCTAAGCCTTTTTCTTTCTTTACTTTTTCCTCAGGTAAGTTCGGTCTTTGCAAATTTTGCAAAAAAAAAAGCACCATCTGTGGGCGACGCTGCACAAAGTCGCAGCGCGAAAGGTTAGGAAACCGAATTTTGCGGTCGATTTAAAGAGCCTGCCGTCTCCTTGAATCGCCCGGTACATCAAATTTCCCATCAAATTAAGTGGGGAAACTGAATTGGTGTATAGGTCACGTGAAATCAATTTTCCCGTCAAATCTAGCACAGAAATTGAATTGTTGCATAGGCCACATGAAGTCAATTTTCCCACTAAATTTAGCGGGGGAAATTAATTGGTCTGTAGGTCCTGTGTCGTTAAATTATATGAAATAAATTTTCTTGCTAAATTTAGCAGGGAAACTGAATTTGTGTATATATCATGTGACATCAATTTCCCTTCTAAATTTAGCGGGTTCTAAAAGTGCAGGTTGACCTTGAACTCGATTATTATTTCAACAAGCACAATGCCCAAACAGATCCCCAGAATGATACACTAAATTATTATAATAGTACCATATCTGGTAGCTTCATACCCTTGAACCGATAATGCTAAACACTCTAATAGTCTCAAACACCTGAACGCTTAAGGTATACCAAAAGAATGTGGTAAACATCCACTTTTATTCTCAGCATATGGACGTCACAAGGGTCAATGAAATGCAGTGTGCCACGCCTGTCAAATGTTACCAATTTGTTGATTCCTGATCATTATCTTGACAATTTTTCAAACTCAATAGATCTACTGCTGAAAGAAAAAATTTAAAAAAAGGTTAAAGACCAAATTAGAAAACCTTCTTCAGTAGGTGTAAAAAAAACTAATTCCGTTGCCTGCTTTTATATAAAATAAAATATAGTTTAGTATAAACACTGTTAGCGGGAGCTTGTGTAGTCTTTTTGAGGCATTGCTGTGCGTGCTCCGCAGGACATACGTCAAACTAAAACCCTCTTTCACCAGGAGAGAGAAGAACCCCCTTCGTCAAAACTTTGGGGAACACAGTCACACAAAAGTAAGATTCTCAGGGACTCAACAGAGCATCAACAGAAAGCCCTCGAATTTGGCTTAAGCACTTGTGGTTCAAAGTAAATTCAAGCCTCGCAGCTCCTTGCATTCCAACTACAGGTCAGTCTTTAAGTACTGCATCCTTCCTAATGCTTGCTATTTGCACTGTGCAGAAATGCCCCCAGAGTAAGCCAATTTACAGCAATGCTAGTCATTGACGAACCAACCAGTTTGGATAAGTCTTCAACAGCCAATAACCACTCGAGTCTAGCAGGAGGTAGACAGCTCGTCTCGGCAAGGAGAGCGCGCTGCCTCCTACTCGCAAGGATGCGGATGCAGCAACAAACGGTCCGAGTAGCAACACGTGCAAGCAAGCGACCTGTCACGCCGGATCTGTTGCAACTTACACGAGTTAGAGCCGTCCTCGAAGCCTTACAACAGCGTCGACCTCATATCACCTGAAACAAACGAGAATAAAATGAAAGGAAATGAAAACAAATCCCTTCATTAATTAGGGTCACACCATTCGCTCTGCCGTTACACTGATCCTGAGAAGTTCTTTCTTTCTATTTTGGTTTCCAGATTTAAATAACTTTCAAGCTGATTGCTACTGTCACCTCTGCAATTCCCACTAGTTCAGACGGAAATCAAGGTCAGTTTACAAGGCGAAGATTAGAGAAAACATGACATCATAACGCAGTGTCGATTGATAAAGGCAGCGGTAATCAAAGCCCTCTTATCAGTAAGACTTCCAATCTCGCGTTAAAATCGTTTCATCCATAGCAAAAGTTGATTCTACCCGTAGCAAGAGGTTTGTGTACTAAGTGCATGCATGCACTGCTCCTTGGCATAAGGACGATAAGCGTCGATAAGTGAACCCGGATCGAGTGCGATAATTCCAACAAGAGAGTCAGTTACTCCTACTTTGCAACCTTGAATACATATTGTCATTTACGAAGGTTTTGGTTTGCTAAGATATTTAAGAAAGCGCGCATCAAAAACGCTAAACGAGCCAAGGAAAAAAAAAAAAAAAAAAGCTTCGAGTGATGCCGAAGGAATGGGACGTACCTTCTTCGCTTCATCGGTGAATCTGTAGTTCGTCGGCTCTCCAACTAGATCCGCAGTTCAGAGGGAGCTTGTCGCTGACCTAGCTGGGTCGCAGGGAAACGCACACAACGGAACTCGGGACGCTCGACTGTGCTGCACCAGCTGATACCGCCATGACGGGCTCGGGAAAGAAAGGCGAAGCGCACAAGTTATTCCGGAGCACCTTCAACAGCGATCGGTGCTGCAAACACTCGGGCGTTGTTCCCCGAAAAATCCTAGTACCCTAGTTTGCCCAAGCAACGGGCGCTTTCCTTCAGCGATGCGAGTTCAAACAGATCAACACGAAACCACGAAACCGTCCGAAGGGTACACAAAAATATCAGCATCTACACGTGAGAAACACTCCAACCGACAAAACCCGGAACGGCGCCGAACTCATCCCGTGTACTCGACTCGGCGCAACTGTCGTCACACGTCGTAACTATAATTCCGGTAAAGAAGACAAATCTTGGTTTATATTTATAAGTGGAATGAGCACTGTTGCGAGCGTCGAAAAGGATAGTTTTATTTTGTGCCCGTTCTCGACCTAGTTTTGGTTTCGGTATGGTGGACAACCAGTTTCCTGCCAAATCACTACATGTATATTTGGAGTTCATTTCGCTGGCTGCACACGTGATGTCCTTGATAAAAAGTGTATCCTGGGCTAAGAAGCAGAAATGGGATAAATCAAATATGTGTACTCCCGTTAGTGCCGTTCAAAAGCGTTTTCGTGCCATATGTAACAGGCGGGGACGGGCAGCCGAACAAATATATTTCTTCTATTATTTTTTGTTTTGTGCATATGTGTGGGTGTGTAAAGTTGAGAAAGAGAGGGGAGGGCATTTAAAGATTTTTTTTTCATCAATTCTAGCGATTTGTTTTTTTCTTAGGCAACGCGTACTTCGCAGGGGTATCAAACGACCTCCAAGTTTATTCGTCTAGTAATTTTTGTCGAGGCAAGAGATAAAGGCATTGAGCATGCAGCAGTATTGCTGGCTCGTTTGAAAACACGGCTGACCACCTCGAGTTCATTTGCGGGCACACAACAAAAAATTAATTGCGTCTTTATAATTGGAAATATGCCCAGAGTTAAGTAAAGTATTAAATGATGTGTACAAATCTAAAATCCGACGCAATTCCTTTTTTTTTTCTTTTTTGAAAACAATATGAGAGCACGTTGGTTGAACACAGTGAAAGGTTTCTTAACACAGGTATGGACAAAAAACAAACAAGGAGAAACACGACATTCGTGTTTCTCCTTGTTTGTCCCTTGTCCATACTTGCATTCAAAAACTTTTCTATGTGTTTAATCTCGACCTCCCCAGATAGCTCCCCCCCCCCACCCCCCCCCCCCCACACACACACACACGCATTTTTTCTTTCTGCCCTTCTCTTGAGTTTTTTTTCTTTGTTTTATATACTATTTTATGTACTATTTTATGTACTAGTGCAGGTGGGGCGGATCGGCACACCAGGTCGGTGTTCGTTTAGCGAAAGCTCGCGCTGCAAACTGCAAAAACCATATTCTAAAACGACTGGTTTTTTTTGTTTTTTTTTTTTGTTTTTGCAGCTAGTGCAGTCATACAAACTAATATTCAAATGAACAATAAGTGTTTTTTTTTTCTTCAAGAATTGGGAGAGGAGAGAGAGAGAGAGGGGAGAATGAGAGGGAGAGATAAATTGGAGAGATTGGCTCGGTTTTTTAACTTACCACCGTCAGTTTGCTCCGCAGTTCGCTGGTTCCTACGCAGCGCAAATGTTTTCTTTAGCGTAACCGCAATGTCATCTTACCTTTAATCCGCCGGCCGCACTGCTTATTTGAACACGTCGTTAATACGATGCGACTTTCGCGCAAAGTGATGCGCCACGAACACGCCTTGGCGGTGCCATCTTTAATAACACATCTGCGGCTATGGTACCAGGAGTGAACGACCTCACTATCTCTAGACGAGGGAGTGGGCGATCGCACTCCGCGTTCCTCGGTCGGAATGCTCGCAGCAACACCAAGGACAGCTGTCGTCATCATGACCTGTCGTCGTCTGTCGTCACCATGATGCGCCGGAAATGATTTGGCGTGCTTCGACAAATCAGTCTCTTAAACGTATTTTTTTTTCTTCTTTATTTCGTTTAATGCAGTGTAAGTCACTGATAGCTTACGTGGCGACCATAAAGTCAAACGAAGTTTGAAGAGACAATCGCTTCCGCCATTGTGTAACGACACCGTTGTAAAATTGAATGAACTGTTGACTGTGAATTATTGTCGAAGAAGATAAAGTATAAATATCGGTTTTCTACCTTACTGCAAAATAAACATTCGGCAGGCGTCAACATTTCACAGGAAAGAAAAAAAAGAAACAGAAATCACTTTCGTGAAAAAATAAGAAAAGCATCGTCAAACAACTCGACTTTAGTGGTTCTTTTAAAGTGTGTTCACCCATTGTTTTGTTTATTTCTTTATTTATTCAGACACGCACGGCAAATAAGAAAAGATGCGGATAAGCTAAAAAAAATAATACTTGAAAGAAAGTTGTTTTTTGTACAGATGTAGGGTTCACAAAAACGCTCAAAAACGCTCGAAAACAATGAAGTCTCCCAGGTGTCGTTTTGGCTTTATTTCAGAAAATACTGCGATATTTTTTTTTTTTTTTTGAGCCCCTGTTGGCTGTTTTGGTTAGAACACTAAAACTCCATTCTTAGAGCAAAACAATAATTCACTCATGAATTGGCAATTAACTTGTTCCACAAAATAAATGCATATCGTCAGTATACTTACATGAAAATTGCACCAACACAGCATCAACATGCATTCCATCATACGCAAAAGACGACCCATATCAGATTTCACAACTACTGAACAACCCCTCCAAAATATTGACCACAATTATTAGCTACAATTTTTTAAACCGTCTATATATACTGTGAACGACTTATTTTTCGCGGGCTCAATAATTCGCGATTTAGGTCCCAGCTGAAGTTTTGGAATAATTCGCGGCTTTTAAGTTTTGCGACGCCGTGGGAACTCAATATAGATCCCAATGTGTTCACATTTTACCGGAATCGTTCGCGGGACCTATTTTTCGTGAATAGTAGGGGATTCGCGAAATGGGCGAAAATTAGGTACACGTGAAAATTAAGTCGTTTGCGGTTTATAAGTTTCCACAAACATATTTTAATGTTCTCTGCTTAGTTGTTTTTGTTTATTTTTATTTATTTTTTTTCTTCTTAGGCAGCATGTGCGAGTGATTCTTCTGTCTGCTGGCGTTCTGATCTAGATAGGCTTAATCTTTTTCTCCATGTTTTTGTTTTACTGCTGTATTGGAAAGGGGTATCCGGACTCGTCAGACGACTTTATCGAATTTTTTATCTATTCTCCTAGACACCTTTTTTTTAATAGAGTGTACTAAATATTTGAATAAACGTTACGCGTTCGCCATAAAAAAAAAGGCCCGGTAATTTTTTTTAATATAAATTATTTACGAATGTTTCTTTCTCTCCAATTGCTTTAGATGCAACTGCAACCAAGAAAAAAAAAAAACGAATTGCTACCAAAAACAAATCGCTATCGATAGCGTTTCCGACGAAAGTCTGCCATTTTTCCCAATGCGTATAGCGGTGCGAATACCATAACACGCCCTCAGAACGACACAGCCTCTAAACTTTGTTTCAGAGTGACTTGGCAAAGGGTAAACGCTACGACCTGCTAGAACCATTCGGAGCGATGGAGTGATTGCACGTGACGTCTCTCTGCAAGCAGAGCGCCCGCCGGTTGTAACTGGTCACGTGCTTCACTTAAACGTTCTGATTGGCTCACGCAAGTTGAGGCTTTCGCCGTTTGCCAGGTCGTGGCGAAACTTAATGTAGACGTCTTATCTAAGAGTAGAATTTTCACTCTTTGTTGACTCGGGAGCTGAATAACGCTTCCACTGACGGCACAATAACTTCACGAGGACAATGGTATATCTGCGGTTAATCAGGTTCGTTCGGCTTTTAATAAAGAATCTATTTTGAGTAGGCTCCACATTTAAATAATTATTTCTAACCACCTCACAAAATTGAGCGCAATCGCAACCGCAACTTTCATCCACACATACACAAAAAAAAAAGTAATAATGAAATTAAATCAGAATCCAAAACAATGATGGAGGAGGTTTCCACCCATTTCTCGTCCAAAGACCCATCAGTATATATATACGTCGCTGCAGCAGCCACGATTCTCTGTCTGCCTGCCCTTTGTATAGGACTAGACATCGACGACAGTGACGCTGTCTTGACAACGCGGCACCTTTTCCGGCTGAGGTTTGGCCTGGACACATGAAACAAAAGACGTGCACTTCTCGTAACGCGCAGAAGCCGTGGTCACACTGCCAGTACACCCTACAAAAGACAGTCTAAAGACACTGTCTGACGCGTGTCTCTTCTTTGTAGCACAGTCCTGTCACATTGACAAAAAAAAAAATACAACTCTGCAAACATTTTTGAAGTTTACATATGGATGAAACAAACATGCTTACATGCTTCGAACATACTTGAGGCGTGTTCGCGTGTAATTTGGTCATCGTGCCTGCAGCGAATATCCTGTCTTTTGTACGATGTACGAGCAATGTGACTCTGGGCGTCTCGGGGCGCGGAACTCTCGCCCCGAGCACAATAGACGTACCACAGGGACAATAGGTAGTGCCATAGCCGCCTCTATAATGACAAAACCTGGCAGACTGCCACGAGACGCGGCCGCAGAAAAAATTAAAAAGGTAGAGCGGCAGACAACGGATGAGAGGAGAGCCACGTGACGGGCGCCCCGCTGCGGCGAAACGCTGAAACACACTTCTCCGGAGCGATGTAATGTCTGCTCGAGCTCCCCGCGTTCCTCGCGCTACCGCTTCTTTTCTCGTTGCGTTTGAAAACCATGTTTCGGGTCCTCGCCGCTGCAAAAGCTGTGCGCTGACGATAGGTTCCCCGAGAAATGCTCAGTGTTACCAGACCCTCGCGCTCCAAATCTGCGACCGGGCACTCCGTGGCTCCGTCGTCGAACTGCCAGGCTTTGTGAGTACAGTGGAGGCCCTGGTATATACGTGCGATATCTCGAACGCGTCTTCGACCGGTGTCTTTGCCGTCTTATCGCGCCCATCCATCGAAGAGGTCCAGATACGTGTCCCCAAACTACGTCCATAACGCCGGCTTGTCACGCCGACAGATGTCTCGATCCTGGCGGTTGGTGGTCGAAACGCTGGCAAGAAAGGCGAGCGCGCGCGACGATCGCTTTCATCCGCTGCGGCTGTGCCATCGCCGCAGGTAACGGCATGACACTTTTATGACGCCATCCGGCGGAAATCGAGCGACCAAATTTGAGGAGGCGGTAAACACACCAGTCAGAAGGTAGACCACGGGACAAGAAACAAGATGAATAGTTCGCAGTCACGGTTCGCTGGAGAGGGTCCCTCTTAGGCATTCGAGGAGACGCGTGCGTGAGCTGTGGTGAGCCTATAGGTTATTGACGCTGATGATCTGGTTGATCCACCCGATGAAGGCGGACACCTTGACGTAAACCCCCGGGACGTCGGCTCGCCCACAGCCGAAGCCCCAGGACACGAGGCCAGTGAGCTCGTAGAAGCCGTCCACGTGGCACACCATCGGGCCTCCGCCGTCGCCCTGCGTGGGTCGGTGCGGTTAGCGGACGCACGAGGGCATGACGGGGTCACACGAGGGAACTGTCTTAAATCAATGCAAACAAACAGATGAACCAGCAGAAAAGTGAGTGCGCGGGCGAGCTGGGGAATCACAAACGGGACTCAAATCTGGGATTAAGAAAACAGAAAAATACAACACACACACGCAGGCACGCAGAAAAAGAAATGCAGTGGTATTTCGATATATTGATCAAACCGATACACGGAAAAAGTAAGTTTTAGGAGGAACGCAGACGACTCTAACTCCAGCCTCCGCCTTCCAGGCGACACCGTGTAGCGTCGCTACGTTTTCCTTTTGGGCCGTTACTTTTTTTCTTGTTGTGTTTTTGAAACTTTTTTAGCTGGTGAGGAATCGAAACGTCTCGGAGTCTTCCATCCTGCCTCTTCAATTTTATTATCTTTGATGTCCTTCCTTTTTTATTTTATTTTTCTTTGAGAGTTGCGTCATGAAAGCAAATACCCAGCGAAGTCGGAAGAATAAAGAACAGGGAAAAGGGGGGTCTCGGGAGGTCTCGGACCCCCCGTCGATTTTGAAGGGTGGTCTGAGACTCCCCGCCATAGCTTTGGCGTTGGTAAAACATAAGCATAAGTACTTCATCTCGTAATCAGAAGCGAACACTGTATCCGAGCCCCGCGACTGCCAATAAACCGTCCTAGTCTCTTGGGCGTTCTCACAGCCTTTTCTTTTTTTTTTTACCCACGCGTTCTTTCTAATTACATCTCAGCCACCATCGCAGTCAGTAACGCGCGAACTCGTGCAATTTCATTTGACGTGTTGTTTTAAGTTTGCCCCCTTGAAGTAAATATCGCACAGCAATGTTGAAAACCGAGTCAGTTGGTAATGATTCATTATAAAACGGAGCGCACAAAAACACAGAGACAAAAAAGACCTACGACAGACAAGCGCTCGTCTGTTGTAGGTTTCTTCTTTTGTCCCTGTGTTTTGTGCGCCCCATTTGCTTTAATAGGCAGTTTTATCATAGTTTTACAGCATATACTACCGTGGGCACAGCAAAAGCTTCTCAACGTGAGCTTCCGGTAGCAATGCCAGTCCGCATGGCAGGTCAACGATATAAGCTAAAACGGCCTTATGCAAGCGCGCGAACGATCATACGCAGGGCAAAGCAAGGCAACTCCCATTGATTATATGCGCAATATGGAGTAGCGCACTTGCTGCATGGACACGCGTGAATATTTCATTTCCGTGGTGCGCGCCCGGAGGGCAGCGATGGCGCCCAGATTGGCCGTTGGGAAGGATAAGATTCCATTCGGCCGAGGCAGATAAGGCGACGGCCGACGCCGTGGCGTCGACCTCCAGACGCGTAGTCTTCGGGGAAGGCCGTGCCAAGATGCCTCCGCGAGACAACCGACCACCATTCCGAGAGGAATGCAAGCTTTGAACACGAGCCCACAACTCTTCTGTCACACGGAGTTGGTTAAGATCCCGGAACTACTACACACAAAAAATATTTCAGACCGTTAAGGGTGCAAATCAACTTCTCCTACAGTGGCGAAGACCCTAAACATATATGGCGCAGGCGATCTTAGCAGCCTACTGCACTCCTTCTCCCGAACAACAAGTTTACAAGCAACAAACACGACATACAGTTCTCACATGCATAGAAAAGGCACATAGACATACTATGACTCACGCACTGTGTCACGACTCTTTGGACTGAACTTAGGGAGACGAAGGGCGAGTGTAAGGGCAGAAACGTCAGTACGCCGAGCTCTGGTTGAAATTACTGGATAGAAGCGCCGAAGGACACGGACAAAGTGAAGCAGGTAACGACCACACGGAGCGCACTCACAACTGAAAGTTTATTTGACAAAAAACACTGACTTGAATGCTTTAATTAAACCACGTCACTTGTAGCCACCCCCCACTGTATCTCTCTCTCTCTCTCTCTCTCTTTCTCTAAAAATAACATTTTCTTATCTAACAGTGCCACAGGCGGCTCACTGATACACTTATCGACGCCCCTTATTTTGACGCTTCGTGAATTTCTCTAGTTGATCTTCCTCTGTGTCATCTCAGGATGGTTGTGTTTGAAAACAAGGGGTGCACGAGCACCGATCGCAATGCACGCGGCCAGATGCCCAGGCGGCGACTGTTTGATTGCTGCAGCGTGTTCTCTACTAGCACGGTCATTTACGCAGCGGCCTGTTTGCCGTATGTAGGTGCGCCCGCAGGATAGTGGAATGTCGTAAACGACAGAGGCTGTACATTTCAGAAACTTCTTTTTGTGTTCCTTTTTGCATTCGTCACTATTTCTGTCCGGAGCATTGATTCTTCTGCACAATGACGAAAGCTTATTCGGGGCCGAAAAAACAACCTGTACGTTGTAACGCCCCGCAACTTTTTTCAGATTGTGGGAGATAGCATGAAGTATAAGGAATGATGGCCGGTCTTATTTTTTGCCTTTAATGAAATTTTTGTGGAACACGGCTACACCTCCTGGTCAGGCCATCCGCTGCATCAGTCAGGGACTTTTGAGGAAAAACCGGACTTACTAGGCGATCGATTTGTATGATCGAAGCTCCTGCCCATTTCATGGTGACATGATTTCTTCAACGCAGTTCCAGATTTCTACCTTTATTAAAGCCCACCTGTCGTCACTGAAATTGCATGATGCGTTTCTGATCCGTAGCTCAGAGGAGGTGATAGATTTTTTGAAGAATGGGACCAGAAAGAAGTGTGATGCCTCCTCAATTGATGTCGAAGATCTTTTTTACTAAGTTCCACATCAGGCTCATTTTAGTGCAGTAACCAATTGTATCGAGAGCGCGGGAGAAACGGCCTTCCGGAGCGCGTGTGGTTCGAGTGGGGAACGCTTCATTGATCTCCTGTTTTTCTATCTTGAACATACATTTGTGTCTTTTGATAATGATGTGTACGTACAAAGGCATTTGTATTAGGGCGAGAGTAGCCCCTGTAGTGTGTGATATATTTTTTAGCGCATTGTGACCGAGCTATACCCGAGAAACTCGGAAATAATGGCGTTTTCAGAATTTTTCGATATGTCGACGATTATTCGGTCATTGTCGTTCCACCTGAAAAGCTCACTGATAACGATGTAGTTGAATTGGTGGGTGTTTTTGCGACCTGCTCTCATGGTTTGAGGTTTACGCATGAAAGAACCTCGGGGGAGGGGGGGGGGGAGGGGTGCAGTTTCTAGATTTAAAACTCACGTTTCTAGGCGATCACACCTGTTGGGCTTATGAACCCCCCACCAAAAAAAAATGTGCTACGGTACGGTAGCACATTCTTTTTTTTTTTTTTTTTGAGTGGGGCTTTGCCAATTTAAAACTGGTAAAAAAAGGCATGGCTACGTCCTGCTTCGAGGCTGCTTTGAAGAAATTATGTCACCATGAAATAGGCAGGCGCCTAGTAAGTGCGGGGTTTCCGCAAAGTCCCTGACTGATGCGGCGGATGGTCTGAGGTATAGAAGTGTTCTACAAAAAGTTTATGAACGGCTAAAATTAAAACCGGCCATCATTCCTTACCTTCATCCTATCTCCCACAATTTGAAAAAAAGTCGCGGGGCGTTACAACGTTCCAGTGTTTTTTTTCGCCCCCGAATAAGCTTTCGTCATTGTGCACGAGAATCAATGCTTCGGACAAAAATAGTGACGAATGCAAAAAGAAACACAAAAATAAATTTCTGGAATGTACAACCTCTGTCGTCTACGACACTCCACTACCTTGCGGGCGCACCTACGTACGGCAAACAGGCCGCTGCGTAAATGACCGTGCTAGAGAACACGCTGCAGCAATCAAACAGTCGCCGTCTCGGCATCTGACCGTGCATAGCGATCGATGCCCCGTGCACCCCTTGTTTTCAAACACAACCATCCTGGGACGACACAGAGGAAAATCAACTAGGACAATTCACGAAGCGTTTGTCATCAAAACAAGGGTCGCCGATAAGTGTATCAGTGAGCCGTATGTGCCACTGTTAAAACATGTTATTTTTAGAGAGAGAGAAAGAGAGACAGGGGGGGGGGGGGGGGGGGCTGGGAGTGTCATGGTTTCATTAAAATATTCACGTCTGTTTTTTTTGTTGTTTTTTTAATACTCTTTCAGTTGCGAGTGCGCTCCATGTTGTCGTTACCCCCTTCACTTCGTCCCTGTCCTTCGGCGCTTCTATCCACTCTTGAACCAACTAGCCCAACTGAACATTTTGTTGCAGGTTGAAATGATCAGTGGGTAGAGCTCAAGCTAGCTGCCTTCAAACGCACTCGTCGAACGTATTCGAATGCGCGTACCAAACGCCGGACGCCGACGTTCCGCGTTCAAAGGCGACTGCGCTGCACTCGGCGAACGCGTTCAAATCCGAAAGTCAGACGCTATACGCCGGCCTTCCGCGTTCTAAAGCGTTTAACGAGTGCAGTGGAGACAAAGGGAGCTAGCTTCGAGTCTACACACTCATCATCCCTAAAACGATGCTCGGTGTTCTGACGTCCGTGCGCGTGCTCTCGTTTCTCCTCTCTCTCAGTTTCTCGACGCAAATTAAGCAGGATTGTGCGTTCTCGGTCATTAAAAAAGTAAAAAAAAGGATAAAGTATGCTAAGTTGTGCGATGCTATTTGTGTACGGGAAGGGTGGTTTGTCAGCAACGTTGCTGTCAGTGACTCATCAGTGATATCACGACGAATTCCTTATCAAGTTGTTAGTTTGCCTTCGGGATCGTCTTTTGATAAGCTGCAAAAGGGTTCAACATTCAACCGACTTTTCTGGGGTGAAGGACGAAAGCTGCGTTCTTTTTGTGATAATCATAACTCTAAAAAGTAATTGCGTTGTGTGTATGTTTATACAGCCGGACGTTGGTCAGCCCTAACGGGCGGCTTAATTGTCTCCCAACTCTGGATGAGCAATTTAGCCAGGGCAGTACAACCGCTAGCCTGGGGTCTTGAACGTGCACCACGCTGTAGTGAACACATGACCGCACGCTGGTACGAT